AGAAAAAAAAAATATTTTTAGCTCAAATAATTTGTTCAATTTCAAAATTATTTTAAAAATATTTCTTAGTAATAAATGAATGAATATGCATAATGAGCAAAATTTATCAAAAAACAAATAAAAAAAAACATATATTTGTTTATATTTCAAACGAATGATTAAATGTCAAAAAGAGAGAGAGAGAAAAAAAAAAAGAAATTAAAGAATATTTTTATTGCTTATTTATTCATAATTTTTTGCAATTTCTACGAATTTTTTCTTGCTTTGTTCTTTTTGTTTACAAAAATATGTAAATATTTTTTAGTTAAAGAAAAAAAAAACAATATTTGTTGACGCAAAAAAAAAAAAAGAAAAACTAGAAAAAGAAATAAAATTATCAGACAGAATGAAGAAAAGAGGAAGGAATCATTGTAAAATATAATTATTAATATAAAATGATTAATTAATTATTTTCATCAATGCTAATAATTTTTTAAATAAAATTTGAATAAAATTTTTTTTCTTCATTCATTTTATTCATTATTAAATTGCTCAAATGATTTAACACTACTATTAATTATTATTATTATCATTATTAATTATTATTATTAATTATTCATAAAATATTTGTCTTTTTTTCTTTCCACCCAAAAAAAGCAAAAATAAAAAATATGTCATCGATATAAATTGCTGTCATCTCATTTAATTGTACATTCATTTTTATTAATATGACTAACATTTAGAAAACTTGTTTATTGATCCTTATCTTATCACAAATTTTCATAATAAATCAGGTATATTAAGGTGGAACAATTTTTCCTTCATTTCAATCCATTTTATATTCTTTTATTTCATTTATTTTAATCACAACCATTTTAATTTTCACTTTTATTACATGCTTATCAATTAAAAATACAATCATTTTCAACATTACACATATATTTTTATTCTTTTCACTAAATTTTTTAACTACAATTTTTTTCAAAAAAAAAAAAAAAAAATTCCAATTATCTTACAATCTTACTCGTTTTTTTTTTTTTTTTTCAAATTTATCCTTTTATCTTTCAGTTATCGCTTGCAAATGTTCAAAAAAAAGTAATTCCAATAAGTTATACTTAAAATATTTTAAAATTGGTATGATAAAATGGAAACAAATTATGTTAACTCCTAAAATAGCTTTCAAATTGTGCATCGAATCAATAATATCAATTTTTTGAATGGGTCAAAAATTTTGGATATAAACAATAAATATCGATAATCTTTTTTTCAACTAAGGAATCAAGTGAGAGGGAGAGAGAGAGAGGAACAGAGGGGAAGAAAGGGAGAGAATATATATATATATATATATAAATAACCTGTACACAACAAATAAATTTTTTTTCTCCTTGGTTTAAAGGTCAACTTTTTGTTATGTCGAATTAACCTCTTCAGAATTTTTTTAAGCCTATAATTCTAAACAATCTAAAAAAAACTGTAAAAACATACGAAAATGTAAATCATTTATCATTCGCCAAAGTTTACATTATGACAAAACAACAAACAAAACTCAGTTTGAAGAAAAATGACAAATGTCAACAAACAAAATATTTCAGAATCCATAGCTTTTACCATAGCAAAAATATATTACTTGCACATATTCAAACACTTGAATGCTGAAATAAACTAAGAAAACTTTCATTGAATGCATAAAAAACTAAAAAAAAGACGAATGACAGGAAAGTTTCACATGAAATTTAAAATGTTTACAACATATTGCATCTTTTCAAAATTTCCTAACATCCGTTTATCAAAAGGATGCAGTTTAAGAAATCTTCTCATAATCCTTTTTCCTTTTCACCCTATAAAATTACATACATATTCTTTGTTAATTTATGATTAAAAATTTATAATTAACACAAAATTTCCCTTCATTCATCAAGTTCATCAGAATCATTATCACTTCTATCTCGTCGAGTTGCCTCTTCAGCATCTGCTTGCTGATCTAATCCTTTCGGTGCCACCAAACCATCATCATCGCTACCTTCCTCACCACTTAATTCTTCAACAAAAGTTTCCATCATTTCCATTCGTTTCCTGATTTCTTCTTCATCCAAATCTGTTACTACTTTTGGCTGAAATTTTTTAATTCATAAATTTCAATCAAATAGAAACAAAAATATACTATCATGGATCATAAAAACTGACTACAGTTTGATACAATGATGAAATTAAATTACATTTTGGAAAGCCTGAAGCAGCATTCTATAAGTTCATCAGTTATAGGATTTCAATATAACAGTAAAATGTGTTTTGAATTATTCACCAATAGCTATAAAGCTCATTAAAATATCTTCGAACAATACAATTCTATTTGAAAGTAGCTGATTTCCCATCGAAACCAAATAAACCTCTGAGAATTTAAAATCAACTTACAGCCATGATGATCTTGAAACTTCCTTGACAATTTTCGATAGTTTTTTTGATTGTATAAAGAGCTTTGTTAATTGCTTCCAAACCTTCACTTCTTTCCAGTGTTTGTGTCGTAACAACAAAAAGTGGTGCTGCTATCAGATTGATCTACAAATGAAACAACAATTAATAAATAGACTATTTATCCAATTTAAAAATTTAAGAAAAAAACAACAAAACTAATTTAAGAAAAAACAACAAAACTACTGAGTTATAAATTTGAGTGCTGTTACAATTAGCATAGTAACCAAAAATTTATGCATGTATTCCCCGACCTCAGGTGTCAAACATAAGTTAACTATTACTGATTACCTTGATTGGCATTTCCGGAGTTGAGCATTTCTGCCCTTCGATAAGGGCATCTTTTACAGCATCTATTCCATCATATGAAAAACACGAAACTTCAATATCAGCTCGGATCTTCACGGCTTGTGGAGTCAGCCTTTTTCTGAAATGTCAATAATAGCTGTTAATTTACTAAACTAATCCTGAGACTACAATCTTATATAAAAAATTTGTAACACCAGAAAAAAAATTTTTTTTTTTCATTCATCTAATCGTTAACCTTTCTTTTAGCTTCATTTAAATAAGAAATATATATGATGAAAAAAAGCTTAAAAAATTTACTTAATATCTATCAAAAGTTTTTCACGAATATCCGATGTTATGTCGCACTCATCTAAAGCAGTTGGATCACTGATGGCTTTCTTAAAAATATCAAATGCAGCTCCTTTCCTCTTTAATTTTCTGTCGAAATACCATGCTGTTTTCTCATATAAGTCTTCCAGTTGCTTTTCAGAATCATAACCTAACTGATCAGCTACATGTCGAAGGATACTGAAATTGTGCTATTAAAGAATACTGTTTGCATATGCCATCGAAAATTAAGTCCAGAAGAAAAATAATTCTTCATCTTAGTAATTCCTCAGTAATCTTAGTAATTAAAGAAAAGATTAATAATTCTCAGTAGCTTCTTTTAATAATTTTGAAAAATAATGCCGATCATTTCAATAAGATCATAAGCGGGAAAAATTATTGCACTAATTATTAATGCTTTAAACAAAGAAATATGAAAAAAGAAAAACACATCTATAAAACATCATAAATCAAATAAAATATGTTGGCAAGCAATTTTAGAGATTAATAAGGGAAACATCTCTATCATTAATTGTACTCAAAATACTACATTAACTCTCATGTAAATCAATTTATAATGAGTTTTAATTACAATATTTCCAATTTGGATACAAAATAGAACTAAACATTAATTCGATTAAGTAAGTAGATCAGTACCTATTGACAGCTTTAGCTTTAGCAAATCGTTCTTCACACTGTATCGAATCCTTTGAATAAACTCGTCTTTTTGATAAATCAATATAACCTTTTTCCTTATCAACACGTATAACAACGACACACTCATTTCGACCAACTCGGATTAACTTATTTACTGAACGGATACGTCGCCGCGAAAGCTCTGATAGCAATATCATACCCTCTGTAATATAATGATGTTAATTAATTAAAACATTTATATAAATGGATATCAGATTCAGTGTGCATTTATAAAACTATTACCACGTTTTTTGTTTACCATAATAACAACAACATTTACAGTCGCACAATAGGTATGCAAAATTTATGATACTATTGTTACACCGTCAAATTCCCTCATTATACACTTGAATTTTATACAGAATATATAATATCGGTACTATTTTGGAATATACCTATATTATTATATTCTAGTAGCGATACGTAGGCACCCATCTCGGCAATTTGCCGTATATTTACCATAACCGTATCCTCCACATCCGGAAATTGATTTGCATAAAATCGGCAAGACAATGGCATGTTGCCTTTCACAAATCTAAAATGAAATCATAAAAACACATAACCTTCATACATTTCCTGATTTCTTTCCAATCAATACCAGTTTTAGAATTCGAATCAAATATTCAAAGAACACATCTTAGTTTTCCTCTTACTACTTCTTTCTACCTTTTAATTTAAAAAAAAATCCCAACCTAGCACCTTAAAAAAAAAAAAAAAAAAATTCATCTTAAAACCTAGCATCTTAAAAAAAAAAAAAAAAATTCCCAACCTAGCATCTTAAAACTAAGTGGAACGAGAAGCTATTTCATCAACCTATAATACTGTGACAACATCATCATAACAGGAAGAAGCAATTTGCATATTTCTACCTAATTCAAACAAAGTGATTTTTTTCCTTCAACCTTGTGTCTATTCCAGACCTACCTCACATGCCAACATAAATCAGACTATCCGAAATCACTTCAAATGAATTCAATAAAAAAGCTTGAAAATGTAAAATACATTGGCAGTTAATTAACCGCTCTATTTGTTTTAAAAATCCAAGCAAAAGTACAAACATTTTATAAAATTAAGCAAAATAAGAAAGTAACAAATTCATAACAACAGTAAGACAATAAAAAAATCAAATGTAAGAATCGTAGCACTAATATTAGACTGAATAAAAAATTGAATAAACTGCAAGAAATACTATTCAATCACGAAATTATCAATACTACTCAAACATAGAAAATCTTGTTTCGCTACACTGCTGGCATATTGAAGAGTGTATTTTGATTATTCGGCAAATACACAACATTTCGGGATTTCGCCATCCTTTCGGCTATTTCTTCTGCAGCTTCTATTTTTCTTAACTCAATTAAGCCATCACCAGCTTCTTTGAATGCCTACAATAATCTCGTTAATATCATTAAATAAAAGCATTCTATTTAAAAAAGTATGAATAAATGACATAATTTAGAAGCAGTTGCAAGGGTTGATTTGTTTTTTTATATTACAAGATTATTATATTACTTATGCTCTTCAAAACTTTATTACTTATGATTTTCATAAAAATCAAAGTTATCGCACTGGGATGTCTATATAATTTACATAATAATATATACATAAATATACAAAAATACATAAATTCCTTACCTGAGCTAAAAGTTTAGCTGCTTGTGCATCACCTTCTGCAGTTGTTACAGCTGCAACTTTCATTTGCTCTGCTGTTTCGACAAGATAACGAGCTTTTTCAGCTTCTTGCTGTGCAACTTGTTTCATCTCGACAGCATCTGTAAATTCCCGCCCGAAAGATAGATGCGTCTAAAAAAATTTCACAAATATTAAAAACATAACTAAGAAACTCTATGCAAACTGCATAAACACAGGGAAGCACTGCATAAATACAATCCTTTACTACTGCCAAGATTATCATCTACTTCAGTGCGACATTCGATAGTAATTATAGAAAAGTGGATATGTCTATGCTGTTTTGCACTGTAAATAATGTAAAGGAATGAACTCGTTTTCTTAAATATCGATTGGCTACTATCATTCTATCATTACTCACCAGATATTTGAAGTAAATTTGAAAAAAAAAAAAGATAAAAGAGATAAAAAAAATCTCGTCAAACTTACAATGGCAATATCATCTAATAAAATGCCAAACTGTTTCGCTCTTTCTGATAGTTCAAGAGAAACTCTATGACTAACACTTTCTCGTTGTGTGATCATTTCATGTGCATCGAACTGAGCCTAAATTAAACATGAATGTTCTAGCAAAAATACAACTTTTAGAAGTAAATTCCCTTGGAAGAAGTTAGAGGAAAATTATACATTCTGCTAGATAATGACAATTTATATATATATATGATAAGTAATTATAATGCAATAAAAATAGCAAATATTAAAGAAGCCAACTATAATGTAACAATTTAGACAAAAAATTTGGTTGAAGGAAATATTATCTCTTTTAGCAGCCTGCATACATCCTTCTCTTCTGCTAAAGAAAAACCAGATATATTTTAATATGCAACACTAGCAAATAAAAATAGTGTTAAATGGTTTAAAAATACAATTACTTACAACAACAGCTTTTAAAACTTCATTTGTAATTGAAGGTAGCACTCTTTCTGCATAATCACGTCCAATATTCAAATATATATTAGGTAATTTGCCCGGCTCGGGTCGATGCAAAATTCTCAACGTTATTTGCACATTTTGCAGGTCTAAAATAAAAACTGATAGAAAAAATCATTCCATCCTAGTTATGTCTTCTTTAAAAAATTTATATAGTATTAGAAACTTTCAGACTATGTCACTTATAATGCATGAGAATTTATTCATTCCTTTTAAGCGCTCTTCCTTATTCATCAAATCTATCTTAAAATCATGAAGAGAAAAACATCCGACCTTTACTTCCTGTAATCGTGGAGACAACTCGTGGAGTTGATCGAATATCAAAAATAATTGGTTTTTGGATTCCTGGAATCAGCATATGCGTCCCTTCGCCGATAACGTCAGGTTTTACACCAGTAAAACGATCGAAGATTACAGCTCGTTGTCCACCATCAACTGTAAAAATAGGAGGTTCAACCCTAATTTCATTTTTTTTTTTTTTTTTAAATTCTCAGAAAAAGCTCTCTTTCCATTTCTATAACACATTTCTAAGACTCTCAATATGACACAGCTGGACAACAGTTAATAAACAAAAAACAAAACCTAATGGTTTTGACTTTTCATTTTTTACTCTTTCTTTTTTTTACCCATTAAATTTCAACATTTGTCTGTTTCATGTACCAAATCTTCCGTACCAAAATCTTATTTCATTTATTAATAAAATTTTGGATTTTCTAAAAATTTTCTAAACTTTTAATTAGGCAATGAATTTATAATATTCAATAATAGTGAGGCCTAAAAAATGGTTGATTCAAGATGCTAATCAAAAGATGCTAATTCATGCTAAGATGCTAACGCAAATTATATTAATGTATGATTATTTGATTAACCACCCATTTATAAAATTATCACCACTCAGTATTCCACCATTTATTATTGCATTCGAAACACTAATAAAGCTAAGAAAACGCATTAAAAAAAAAAAAGAAAAAGAAAAACCGTTATATAATGCCTTCGATACAACACCAGCACCAACAGCCATCGTAGCTCCAAGTTGGATTAAGCGCTTCATCAATTTTTCTCCTACTGTTGCCATTTTTTCTTCTCTAGAATAAAAGTCAACTATTCTTAACTGAAATTATGGTTCACATAATAACGCAATATTCGTCCATTCGAAAAAGTTTAACTCAAATTAACACAGAAACTTATGATTCGTGATACTTTTAACAGTTAATAATATACTTCAGACTAAAGCAACAAAAAATATAACAAAATGGAAGTGTTTAACTTTTCCTCTCCTTTATCATCACATAAACTATCATATCAGAAAGAATGAACACATAAACACATAAACCGGAAGAAAATCCTTCGGTAAACAGAAACCATTTTATTGTGATTCTGTTTCTTTTATCTTTCCTCTTGTAATAATACAAATTTCACCCCAAATTTAATAGATGTTTAAGTGTCACACAAAAAACTGTGCAATTTATATTGAACTTGAAACTGTTAGTCATCGTGTAAAAACTTTGTAAAGCAATCCTAACAATGAAAACAATTGGTTACTTCCACTTATTATTATACAAAAAACTTGTCCATAACAAACAAAATAAGTCAAAATAACAAACTGTTCCAGAAACAATTAGAAAGAGAAATTACTTCAAAAAATACAGTGTTAAATATTTAAAAATCTTTACTACTAAGAAGAAAAATAATTAACATTAATATCAGAAAATGTGACATGTAACTGATTCGGCAAAAATAATTTGTAAAAATCAATAACTTTTGAAAGTTAGAATACGAAATAGTCGGATTGGTGGCTTTCATTTATTATTAAACACGAAAGCTATTCCTTAGCATAAAAATTTGAGGATGATAAATTAGTCCTATCGAGTAAATGAATTTATTTACATTGAAATGATTAGTATATAATTTTTAGAATGATAATTTTTCAAGAACCTGAAATGATTAATTACATAATAATGATAAAACCTTCTGAAAAGTCAATTCAAACAATGATTTTCATCATAAGAGCCTAGCACGTCATTCACGAGGTATTTTACATATATATTTAAATACACTTCAATAAATTCATATGCTATCAGTCAAAAATTTTGAACATAAGAAAAAGTAAAAGTTCGAAAAAGTTTAACCAACTCTCGACTTCATCGAGAATAGGTAAAAAAACACAAGTGATGATAACAAAATTATTTCTTAGCCTGGGATTTCATTTTCATATTTCTGGTCTGAAACGGTTTGATGATTTGGTTTTTGGGATGTTAAATTCGGCAATGGATGAGGTGCTTACGTGAACGGTTGGGGTAAAGAGTTTCACGTGTGATGGGTGAGGTGGTGAAGTGTGTTACGTGTTCTGACCAGAGAAATATCTTGCGTGTAATAGTTAGAACAAATATGTGTCATATATAGCAACTGGGTTACGTGTACTTGTGTGTAGCTCGGTTAGAACATATAGTGGTTGGAAAGTGAGTACACCACGTGTAGCTGCTAGAATATAAAGTGGCACTGTGAGGCTTGCGTTCCTTACATTTTAAGTTTATTATTTATAAGATAATACATTGGTAAATAATTTGCCCTGGATGTTATCTACTGTGTAGTTTCGCTCTTAAAGTTTTTATGATGAAATTTTAAATAGTCTGCAAAGAATTTAAATCAATCTTTTTTCTTTCACAGGATTTGGATGGCTACATCAAAGAAAAAGACAAGGAAGCTAAGAGGTCACGTATCGCACGGACATGGACGTGTCGGAAAACATCGTAAACATCCAGGTGGTAGAGGTAATGCTGGTGGACAACATCATCATCGTATCAATTTTGACAAATATCATCCAGGCTATTTTGGAAAGGTTCCTTATTGTTTATTTTTATGTAGTAATTTATTATCTTCCTTCGTTAGAGGAAAGTGGGAAGTTTATTCCTTTTTCAATTGCAGTTTCTTTCTTTTCTATTCCCTGCTCTATTAGAAATACAGTTTTTCCGTCACAGCGCATGTAATATTTAATTTATTTGCTTTACAAGTGATAGGTAGTTGTGTCTTTGATATCTTTAAAGATTTTTAAACTAGCAATGATTTTCGGCTTTCTTTCAAAAATAGGCAGATTTTATTCTATCTGAGAAATGTTCAACAATTAAGACACAAGTAATTTACAAATAGGTAAAGGCTTAATGTCTGGAAGTTCATAGATAACCGGATGATAATAGATAATCTGCTACAGGTGATATTTTTTTACACATCTAAATAATATTTTAGCGCATTAAATAGCTTTTTAGGTTGGTATGCGAAATTACCATCTGAGACGTAACCGGCTATACTGCCCAACAGTGAACGTTGATAAGCTGTGGTCACTGATATCGGAGAAGGTGCGAAAAACTTATGCGGATAGGAAAGATAAGGCACCGGTAATCGATGTTGTCCGAGCTGGTTATTTCAAAGTTCTTGGCAAAGGCCTTCTGCCGAAGCAGCCTGTTATAGTCAAAGCAAAATTTTTCTCACATTCGGCAGAACAGAAAATAAAGGCAGTAGGTGGTGCCTGTGTATTGGTTGCTTAAGAATTATTATGTTTTTTCGCTCTGTATTTGTTATTGTTTCCATAAGATTAAATATTATGAATTAAAAAATGCTTTCCTGATTTTGTCGTTTATTCGACATAAACTTTTATTTATTACTGTTACTTATGTGTATAGGTTCGACATATAGACTTAAAAGATTTATCCTGGAAATTTTACGATGTTTATTATGGAATTGACAGTTGGAATGTTGATCTTGTGTCCACATCTACTCTTGCTGGAATGCTACTCATAATGGTTTTTAAGTAATCAGATATTAGGAAGATTTTGGCGAAGAATTTGAAGATTTTTTTTCCAGAAAGTTTTAGTGGATTGCAGAATGATTACTGACTTGAATAGATTTAATCTTCCTTTGCATGTTGCTTCAGACATAGTGCATTGTTCTCAAATAGAGCTAAGGCTTGATAGCGACGTGCACTTACTAAAGAGGAGAAATGGCAAACCAAGAATTAGCATGCGTCTATGCAGCACTTATTTTGCAAGATGATGATGTTGCAATCACTGGTGATAAAATTTCAACCATCTTGAAGGCTGCACATGTTGATGTGGAACCATTCTGGCCAGGATTATTTGCTAAGGCCTTGGAAGGAGTTGATGTGAAGGTATGCATAGGTATTCATAATTTTTATTACAATCGTTTTGATTTCTTTACCGATAAGGCGAAGGTTGAGATCATTTCCCAACAAAAATTATTGCTTTATGTGAACAGAGATATAGATGCGTCATTTGTTTTTTTTTGGAACCCAAAGATCTGGTTGCATTGTCACAGATTTCTAGATTTCCTTATCATTTTACATTGTGATCTTTTCAGTCGTTGATAACTAACATTAGTTCAAGTGTTGGTAGTGGTGGTGGTGCTGCAGCAGGAGTAGCGGCACCTTCCGCAACAGCAGCAGCGGCAGCACCTGCAGCAGCTGCAGAAGAGAAAGAGGACAAGAAGAAGGAAGAGCCAAAAGAGGAATCAGATGATGATATGGGTTTTGGTCTTTTCGACTAAAATTCGCATTATGTTGTTACTATTTTGAATCACAAATTTGTTTATTTCTCTGCTTTTGGCTTTGGTAATAAAATTATACACAAGCATCATTTGGAAGTAGAACCTTTTCTGCAAGGCACAAGTATAGGAGAATCACAAATCACATTTCAAAAATAATGAGCTACTAGCTGTGTTCCGAAATTTGGTCGTGGTGTACGACAACAATTCATTTTTCAAGAAGTAGATGTAGAGATAGGAAGTCAAGCAAAATTAGGGAGAAGTTGTGGGTATTTTTTCTTATCGTTAAACTTTTGCAGTAAAGTGATATTATACTAGGTTTAATTCCAAAGAAATACAAGTTTAATATTCATTTTTCATTAAAAAGTTCATTGCTGTGACTTGAAGAGAGTGAAGTTAATTCTTAAAGAGATGGTTGCGTATTTTTTCATTTCATGTTTCTCGCTGAGCCACGCGTAAAATTTTTGACAACGAAGTGATCAATTCTAAATCCCAAGATTTTGAAAGCAGAAATGTTAATGAAATTCATAGTCTTCTTTGTTACTTTAATGCTTATAATTTTGAAAAGTCCGGGCATCCTGTAGATTACTACTATTTTGACTTGATAAATATTTCTCACTGAAATATTTTGTCAAGACAAAGCTTAGTGCACTTTAGACACATAATTAAGGCACATAATTTTCCTAGATGAAGAGATGAAAATTAAACTGAATCAGTCCTTCTACGAATTAGTCGAGCAGAATGCTTTGGTCGTTCCTTTCGTATAACTGACATTGGCACAAGTTGAGTAATACGAATTGGTTTTGATGTTGATTGTATGTCTCCTGCAAATGGATTGAATGTATTAGATAAAATTCCGATTAAACAATTTTTTAAAAAATACATCATTTAATAAACGCTGTAAAATAGATTCAAAATAACTGAATGATTTTAAAAAAGAAAAGAACAAGTAATTTGTCTGCTATTATCAGTGATACCATTCATATCGAACATTTCAACTGTTTGTACACTTGCTGTCTTTTTTGAAACTTCCGACGATGATACTTCAAATATTTGCGGATATTTCATCTTTACTAGATCATTGGATGTATGAGATAAACTATCCATTGGACTAATCATATTTCGTAGACACTGCAAATAATTATAATTTCAAAATTATTTATACTATCAAACCTGAAAATTTAATAAATTCAAATAATTTAAAAGAAAAGATTTAAATTACTTCAAATTAAAAAAAAAAAAAGGAATTTTATTGAAATATCTTTTTAATCATTTATAAATTTTGCAATCAAATAAATTAGAAAATTGTATTTATTTAATTAAACGAAGAAAGAAAAAAAATTTTTTACCCTTTTTCGTTTACTTTCTTCATTTCCATTTTCTGAATTATTTATCTGATTGATAGTTGCTTTTTGTGATGAAATAATCATTTGATCATTTTGTTGCTTATCATTTTGTGCTACTACTTCAATTACATCTGCATCACTAATTTTCTCATCTTCCGAAATAGTTGAACTAAAAAAAAAAAAAAAAAATAGATTTGAAATATGACAAATAATATATTTTTTTCTTCATTTAACAAATTTATAAAATAAAAATTTCAATCATTTATTTCATTAAAATTCAACAAAAAAAAAAAAAAAAGAAACGAATTTGAAAAGAAACAAAAAATTCATTCAAAAAGTATTCTTTTATGCTTTGGATTATCGTTGTAACTCTTCGAGATCAGAACATTCATGATATGGACATTCATAATCTCGACTATCTTTAACAAATTGAAATTCAAGAGAAATTAAAAATATTTTTTTCAATTAAAATCTCTCTCTCTCTCAGCGAAAAGTTTTATTAAAAATTCAGATAAATTTCTTATAACTTCAATTTATACATCAGTACAGTTATATATATATAAATTATATTTTAGTACAAATTTCCCTTTCTCTCTTTTTCAAAATAATTATTATCGATGAATTAAAATAATAACAATAAATTATACTAAATATAAAATATAAAATAAAAATAATTATTATCGATGAACAAATATAAATTAATTTAAACCTGCTAATTGTAGCAGCAAGATGATGTTGTCGTCTTATTCGTTCCTCATTTTGTCGACGTTTAAGCTTTTCTAATGCTTCATTTACTCGCTTCTCTAATGCATCATAATTATAATAAATTTGTTCTAATAACCATTCAAAGCCATCTTTTAGTGTCACATCAATCATTCGTCCACTACCCGCATTTGATTGACAAATTTCCTTAAACAAATAACTTTAGTAATACTTTTTTTTTTGATAATTTTTTCGAAATAATCTTTTACTTCTTATTTATGCACTTTCTTTTAATAATAGGTAAATGCTACTTTTTTTTAAAAGTTAATCTTATAAAATTTTATAGTTATTATTAGTCTATTGAAACGACAATATCTTATTTCTTATTTCTTTCAACAATAGCTGATTTGATTACCTTCGTTGAATAATTTATAATAATTAACATTTTAGAATGTTATAAAATATTAAATTAAAATTGAAATTAAGTTAAAATGAGTGAGTAATAGCAAAATAAAATCAACTTACTACTCGAATTTGTGTTTGATATCGATTTGCTAAATTATGTAAATTGAATCGATCGGTGAATTGAATTTCATCAATACATCTCCCACGATCTTTCTTATTTAAAATTATCAAAAATGGTTTATTCATTAAATCCTTATCACTAATTACATCTTTTAGCAATTGACCACTCTCTTCGATACGATCTTCATCGCTTCCATCAATAATATAAATTACACCAAATACCTAAAAAACGTAAAATAAAATTTTAACGTTAAACTAATTTGAATCATCTAATTTTCTTTATTTAATTTAATTTCCTTTAATCCCCAAAACAATTTAATAGTTGCAAACTTTTTTCTTTCAAATTAAATAAACAAAAAAACACGAAAAGAAAATAGATTGAAAAGGAAAATTGATAACATATTTTTTTAATTGATCAATTGCTAATTTATACATATTTTCAATTTTCTTAATTTAATTTCCATTACTTTTAAAGACAATTTAACATTTACAAATATTTTTTCAAATTAAAAGAAAAAAAAAAAAACAAAAAGGAAATGGAATGAGAATAAAAATTGATAATATACTTTTTAATTAACCTATTGGTAAATTATTTATACCTCAGGATAATAATTTTTCCATATCGAACGTATCCGTTCACCACCACCCAAATCATATGCAATAATTTCAGCTTTTCGATATCTAAATTCGTGTAACGTGAAACCATTCGTAGGTAAAACATTATTTATTTCACCTGTAAACAAGTGATAATTTCACAGTTAACTATTATTATCATTATTATTATTATTATTATATTATCATATTTGATATTTAATGTAATAATTAATTAAGATCATTCTAATGTTATTTCAATATTAATAAATCATTGGCATCATTATTTACAAATTTTAATTTATTAATTAAAAAAGAATAAAATTACTAGAAATTCTGCACGCACACAAGAAAAAAATGAAATGTGAAATAAAATAAATAAATAATCTATGAATAATAAATAAAATTCACAAATTATACGTAATCTTCTTTTTTTGTCAAATTTAAAATAATTTTAATAATTTTTTTTTTTTATTCTAAATGAAAAGCAAAACAAAAAAAAAAAAAAAAAGTGTAATAACCTGAAGCTAATGAACATATAGCTGTTGATTTCCCTGCACCATCTATACCCAAAATGCAAATTCGTATTTTTCTAAATTTATAATCTTTAAAATGAAATCATACCAATACTAATTTTCTAAATTTATAATCATGAAAATAAAGATCCATGCCATATTTAATACAAAATATTTAACTCATAAATTATTCCTACATACATATTTATATTTATGTGAAAAAAAAAATTGCTGTTTTTTTTTTTTTTTTTTTCAAAAACATGAAATTAGAAATGGAAATGAAAAAATGTTTACCTAACTTTTTTGTGGTGTAATTTTCTTTTGTTCTGCTTAAAACCACCAACACAATTGCCCATATACTAATAAGCAAAATTATCAAATGCAACAAAAATTTATTTTCATTCAATCATACAATAAAATATGGATTAAAGAAGAAAAAGCAAACAGAGGAGACCAAAATTGATTGTCATAGCAACGCTTCAACTGCATTATCATTTTACCTTTTTACTCATTTACCTATCTATCATTATTTGTTGACAAATCTATTGTGTATGTGTTTGAATTAATTTTTTGTGAAGATTTATTTCTTATTTATATATTTATTTTTTGATATGATATAAAAAATTATTTATTCATTTTTTTTTTTTTTTTTAAATTATTTTATTTACTTATTGTATTGTAAATTTCATTTTATTTTGTCCAAAAATTTCCGATAGTTTTGTGAATTTCTAATTAACAATCGAAAGTGATAATAGATTGGATTATTTATTTGTTTATTTTATCGTAAATTTCATTTTGTTTTGTCCAAAAATTTCTTATAATTTTGTTAATTTTTAATTAACAATCAATAGTGATTGTGATATGATATAAAAGATTAATGATTGTGCTTTAACATAAATGATATATTTGATCCTATTTAGCATTGACCAATTAATCAATCGATTAGTTCGATAGTTTTATTTTTTTGTCATGATAATACAAATTCTTATCGTTGGAAGGAGTAAAGTAGTATTGAGAAAAAAAAATTGATTACATTTTGTGAATAATTAACTGATAAGCGATGATGAATTTCTATCAAAAATTTGAACCAAATTCATAATATTGAAATTTTTATTATTAATCATTTGTCATCTATTATTTATTAGATTTATTATTAGTTTGTTTATTATTTGTCTATTTTACGTTGTTTACTAGTTATTATTGATTTATTACTATCATTACTATTATTATTGTTATTATTACTAATGATAGTATTTTTTTTATTATTGATATTATTTTTCTATACTTTTTTCTCATTTTTACTTTAATAATTTCAATCATTCATATTATCGGAAACTTTGTTTATGGTTAATAGCGCGTAACATTTTCATCGGTAATGACTTTTCTGATTATCATTATCACTAAAATCATGATAGCATCGTTTAATCTCTCATATTTTTGGATCATTCTAAGATTTTGAAAAGCTTCAAAAGTTTGAAATTTACTATATTATGTTTGTTTATATCTCATCTCTTCAATTTAAAAGGAAAAGAAAAGGAAAAAAAAATCAAATAGCAAAATGAGAAAGATTCAATTTAGGGAATAAAAATTCTTTATTCGAAATTGATGAGTTAAATTAAAGTTAAATAAATTAGATTTGATAAATTAAATAACTAAATGAAAAAAGTGACACAATTTCTTCTTTAATCATTTTAGAAATAAACTTTGTAATATTAGACAGACTGATTAATCGATTAATCAATATTATTTACCAATATCAGCAATATCCCTTTAGATGTTTATCAAAACAATTCGATTTTTTCCTTTATTAATTTGTTTTTTTTTTTTTTTTTTTGCTCTATGATCTTTCGAAATGCATTTTGACCTTTTATAATGCCTGTGACCTTTTGAATTTTACATACCAAAAAAAAAAAAAAAAAAAAAACAATTAATTGGATCATTTTGAGCTTTCGAATAAAAGAGATCAAAAATCTGTAAACTACAAATTATTCACTCAATTTTGACAAAGTAACTTTGATAAGGTAATTTTGATAAGAAAGCAAACTTCCATCACCGTTTTTTTTTTTTTTTTTTTTTAATAAATATTATCGTAGTTCAAAGATTCAAAAGACTCAATGAATTTTTGTGAAATTTTGTTTCTCTTTAATTAAATATTTAAATTTTTTCAAATTCTTTTTTTTTTTTTTCTGATGGAATTTGAAATTATTTTTCGTTGTTAATTAATCGATGAATAATAATTTGAACATTTAGTCAAAATATACTTTTTTTTTTCATCGTTTCACAAAAAAAAAAGCTCATAATAGCAAAAAATAACAGCAATTGATATTGGCCATAGTTGGCGATAGAAATAATGAAATAATTAAAAAAGAAAAAAAAAATATTTTCCTTTTTCTAATCATCAATGTATATACAACAGTTCATTAATTAATTAATTAATTAGCTAAAATAAAGAAAGAGAGAGGGAGAGAGTAAAGAAAAGAGCAATATTTTCGATGCAGGAAAAAGGAAGAAAAAAAGAAAAAGTATCAATTTTACGATTTCACAAATAGCAGTAGCATACAATGATGACAATCATAAATAATAATCATAATTATCATGATAGCAATAATAATAATATAGTGATAATAATGTGACAATGATAAAATGATACAGCATAAAGCAAATTAAGCCTACATTCTTTCACATGGGAAAAATAATCGTGATAATAACGATAAGAATAGACTGATAATAATAATAAAAATAAATTGTATAGCTATTATCACTATTTTTATCAATCATATATAATATAAAAACTATTATCACAAAATGTGATAAAGAAACAACTTAATATTATCAGACTTTTTCCATGTAAAAAAATAAAAGAAGAAAAATGCTAAAGATAAAAGTAAAAAAAAAAAGGAAAAATTTTTTGAGAAGACACAATTAGATGAAGGCGATTTTCATTAAAATATTTTACAGCAAAAAAAAAAAAAAAAAGGAAATTAAACTTTTCAAATTTAAGTTCACACAGAAAAAAATGCATACAAAGCATATAAAAAATAGCATTATGCTTTCATAGAAAATGAAAGAATTTATTTAAATTTAAAATACAATTAACTCTCTACTGCAGTTTTTGCAAAATTTTACAATAAATTCAAATGTTTTATGCATTATCAAAAAAATATTCATTATGCAATTGAATTTCAATTCGATTTTTTCTACATTTGAAATTTATTTATTTCAAAAAAAAAAAAATTTAATGGAATTTTCCATTCCGTATGTACAGTGAAAATCTGAATAAGTTTAGCAAATTTTAATTATCAAAAATAAAATAAAAATATCAAGCAAAAATTAAAAAAAAAAGGAGAAGAGGAAGAGAAAGAGAAAATTTAACTAATGTAAACTTTTCATATACATTGAAATGATGGAATGCAGCTAATTTCTGAAAAAAAAAGAGGAGAAAGAGAGAGAGAGAGGGAGAGAGAAAAACCATGAAAATTGATGTATTACTTTTCATTTTCAAAATTTTTGCAATTTTCTTTATTTGCAAAAAAATCTATTTGTTTTGTGAAAATTCAAAAACGAAAAAAAAAAATTTTTTTTTGAAATTATAAAGAATAAAATTAAAAATTTAAATGTTCATAATAAAAATAAGAGGAATTTATGAAGAAATATGAAAGATGAAAACAAAATTTGAAATTTATTTTATCTGCGTCCCATCATAACTTTAGTGATAAAGTTTACAACAGCTGTAGCCGGTTGTTCCGGTTCTAATTCCGCAAAAATATGGCATGTATTATCCGTTCTGGAGCCTATCTTACGTGCGACAAATGCAAACATTCGAGCATTTTTGACGTATTTTGTCACGCTACCTTCCAGGTATGAATTATCCCACCTGTAAAGTAATTATTGTAATAATTGCGCAACGGAAAGTACTAAATAAAAAACAAAAGAAAATAAAAAGAATAAAATTCAAATAATTAACTCATTTCCACATTTTTTTTTAAAACAAATGTATTATTTAAAAAATATAAATATTAAATATATAGAAATGATAATAAAATTGATGAAAACTAAATTAAATCAATTAATTTTAATTTTTGATATACCAATAAAAATCAATTGTAAGTCAATTTCACTAATGCATTATATGCAAATAAAAACTAGCATAATGATAAAATGATAGCGCAAATTTACGACATATTGATTTTAAATATTAAATTCAAATTTCATACCTCCGATCAGAAGGATCCAAACCTGCGTATGTAACGGATTGTACAGGATAATGTCGCCTAAAGAAAAGTCGCCTTGTGTTATCCGTTATTGTGATACCTTGAGATGACACCTGCAATAATATAAGGTAATGTAAGACAACCAATAAAATCCTAAAAAGCATCAGTATAGGATTAATAATAGTAATAATAATTGAAATTAGTAATAATAACAATATCAAATAGCAATAGTAATAGTAATAGTAATAGTAATATAATAATAATAATAATAATAATAATAATAATAATAATAATAATAATAATAATAATAGTAATAATAATAATAATAATAATAATAATAATAATATTAGCAAGAATAATAACAATATTTTATTCATATGCTAAGAAAGAAAAACAAAAATAATTGCATTATTATTATCATTTCACTGCTATGTTTAATGTAAGCTAATTAAATTTATGATAATCTAACTAAATTCAAAATTTTCTTTAACATAAAAAGTACAACCATTGAGAAAGTAGAAAAATGCTATCATATAAATAAAATAATTATAATAAAATTAAGTCAGAAAGATAGATTTTGGATATATTTTAACTTTTTTTCTCTCTCTCTCTCCCTTTTCATCCTCCTTTCTTCTAGTCTTTTTTTTCAAATTGCCGTTTTTCCATAATAAGTAGAAAATATTAAAAATTATTCGATTTCTAATTAAATAAATTGAAATAATAATAATATCAATAATGATAAACTGAAATTAAATTATCATCAAGATATACTAATTTTGACATGAAATAAATTAAATTATTTGTTACGATTTGTTTATTTTGATATGAAATAGTATGGAAAAATTAAATAACAAATTATTCATCAATTTTTTTGATGAAACATATTAATAAAAAAACAAATATGTGAAGGAAAAAAATACAAAATAATTAATTTTTAAAAGAAATCTGATCTGTTTAAATCATTTCATTTAATTACTATATATTTATTATTATTATTAAATAATTGGAAGAAAATATTTATAATTTTAACCATTAGATAATTAAAATTATTAATAGATCCATCAAATCTTAGAATTCCTAAATATTGGCACTGAATTATATGATATTTTAAAATCATATTTAAATGTATATCAAAAATTTTACACATTAACTGAATTAACTGAACAATTAATATATTGAGAAATAATATTAATAAATTCAATTAATGCTAAGTAAAATTGCTAAATTAAAATATGCCATTAAAGAAATTAAAATGATCTAATAAAATGACCATGAACTATTCCGATGAACTTATTAATGATAACTATAAATGAAGTAAACATATTTAGTGCTTTAATTTTGAAATTTACTAAGAATAATTTACCAACTACTAATTAATTTATCAATTATTATTAATTAGAAAATTAAAAATTAATAGCTAAAAAAGGAAGAAGAAAAATCCAATCATTATTTTATCCTAAAAAAAAGGCATTAAATTAAAAATATTAAAATGGATTAAAATTTTTTAAAATTTCTATATGCTAATTAAAATTATTCATATGAAAAAAAAGAAAAAAAGGACATTGTTCTTATCATAATTTTTCATTCAACTTTATAACACGTGAAAGTCTAGAATGATTACGTATGATCACGTGCGTAAAAAGTTGACAGATAAGAAGGTGAATAATTACACAATGCTTAAATATTTTAAAATACTTTCATCTAAGCTAATTTTCCAATTTTTTAATTTTTCGATTTCATTTTATACTTTTTATTGCATATTAAAACAAAACAAAAAAAAAAAACGAAAGAAAAGCTAAAACTAAGATACATCTTAAATTTTATTTACAATATATCATAAATCGTTTATTTTTATATGAAATTAAAGAAAAAATATAAAAATAATGTAAAATTACTTTTCAAAATACTATAAATTAATAAGTTATGCTGAAAATATTTTTATTCATTTAAGAAATGAAAAAAAAAATAAACAAATAAGTGTAAATGTTTTTTTTTTTGTTGATAGATTTAAATTTGTAAAATGTTAGAAGTTTAGAAATATTTAACAAATTTTACAAATCGTTTAAAATTTTTGATAATAATTTTATTAACAACAATTATTTTCAATAATGAAATCTAAGCTTAATATTGATTGATTGGTTAGTAATATTCGTTGATTGATTGACTGATTTAATTGTTTAATTGATTAATTTGTAATTTATAAAATTGTCATAGAATTTGTTTAATGAATTTCTATTTAATGAATTCCTTTTTTTTTACAAATACAAATATAAGAAAAATATATATTAATTACTTACTTTAACAAATATAAATTACTAATTATTACTTACTTTAAAATAAAAAAGTATTACTTATTTACCTTAAAATGCACTGAAACAGGTTGAATCATTTTTTGTTTGAGAAGATCAAATGTTTGATCAATACAACGTCGAGCAGCTTCCGGTCCGGTTAATGATTCGGTATCCAGTGAAATAATATATGTCACATTGCAAGCTGTAAAATTTTTACTTTTTAATTTTAAAAAAATCAAAAAATTTTTGAATAAAATTTTTATTGAATTTTTTTTTCCATTACTGAGAATACAGAAAAAATAAATAACCAATTAAAAAAGTGGATAAAAGTGTGTATAAGAAAATGTTAAAATTGAACAGCAAGAATACTAACTTAAATTTTATCAAACTTTTGAATTAATTACTTAAAAATGAATGAAAAAAAAAGAAAGCAAAAAAAAAAAATTTTTTTCTTTTTTGCAACTTTAATTTTTCATTTTTTATTAATGTAAATATATATCACAAAATTACTATAAATTAGTTCATTTTTTTGTTTAATTTATAGTAAATCTATGATATATTTAAAATAATAAATAAATTTAAAAAAAAAGAACATCACAAATCAATTTATTAATTTTTTGTTTTTATACTTTTAACCATATTTACTTATATATAAAGTATGATTAATGGAAAAAAATCAGAAATTGATATTTGGAATATTTTTTATTAAACTGAACTTTTTTTTTTGAAGAAATTTAGTTCTCTTTTTGTTTTTTTTGTTTTTTTTTTACGAATATAAATAATATGCAAGAAAATAAAAAGAAATGGAATAAATAAATACTAAATTGATGTTATATATTCAAAATGAAATAACAAACCGGCTCCCTGTTGTAAAAGTTGTTGTGCAGCAGAAATATGTTCCGGTGTATTTGCCGGATCGTATTCCGGTAGCAATAATTTAGTTGGTAGCGCAAGTGGTATTATTGAATGTTGGTATACAAGTGCGGATAAGGTACCAAATACTGGTTCATTATTACAACCTTTTAATTTGACACCTTTTGGTGATGGTTCAATGAGAAAATGACGTACCAATTCGGTACCATCACCTAAAATTAGTAATTTCATTTTCTCCTTTTTTTTTTTAAAAAAAAAAAAAGAAAAGAATCCATTAAACTTTTTTTTGAAAAAAAAGAATTAACAGTAATTATAGTTATAATAAGTTAATAATAATATTTCATTACGAATAATTAAAATAATGCAAATCTAACTTAATTACAAATTAAATGCTATATAATATATGAAGGCAAAAAAAAAATTAATAAAAATTTTTTATGATTATTATTTGATTGATTAAAAAAAAATTTCAACCATTCTAACTTTTATAAATTACTAGTGATAAATATTCGAGAACCAAGTATTATTACTGATTATTATAGCTAATTCCTTTTTATCAATAATCAAAGGTAAGTCAATAATTAAAGGTAATTATTAATTAAAGATATCAATGTGCATAAACAGTAATTACTTAAAGATAAATTAGTAATATTGATACTACGAGAAAAATAAGGATAATTTGACTCAATAAAAATATCGTGGTAGGAAAAAAAAGCTAATAAGAAAAATTCAAAAGCTCACTAAAGGAATGGTATTTTAGTGTAATTTCCTAAATAGAAAAAAAAAAAGAGAAAAGAAACATAAAAACTAATTTTAAAAATTAAAATCTATTTCAAAATTTAAAATTAAATTAATTTCTTTATCCAAATTTGAAGAAATAATAATAATAATAATAATAATAATAATAATAATGAACATAATGACTTATCATTCAAACTTTATTAAATTATTTTATTAAAGAAATAAATTATAACAATTTATTAAATTTTTTTTTCGTCTTATTGTTTATTTTCTTTTAAATATGGTAAAATTAAATTGAGAGAAAAATAAAATATACCAGGATGAACACCAGGTGGCGGTGTTGCAACTTTTAGCGCTAAACCAAATGCACCCGGAAAACTGTTACTGTCCCGTACAACAAACGTACCCGGTGGTTTATCCCTGAGCATGTTTACAGCTGTAAATATAATTTAGTAATTTAAAATAATCGAATAACTGTAATTTGAAAATTTTATTAATTCAAAAAATAAACAATGTTAGTCAGATGTGTACGTATATGTAAACTACGATATAATAATAATAATGCATAAGAATCCATTATAATTTAATAAATATTTTCAAATTAAATTACAATATAAATTGTAAGCAAAATAAAAATTTTCAAATTTTTGAAAAACTCAAAAGACAATTTCATATTAAAAAAAAAAAAAAAAAAACTAAAAGAAAAAAATGAATGATAATTTTAAAGTCAAAAAAAAAAAAAAACTTTCTAACCATCTTCCCTTGATATTGTTGGCTTATACCAGTATTTTGATGTATTTTTCACAAATAATGGATGATGATGAATTACTTCACCCAAATCTGTAAATAAAACAAAACGAATGATATGATCTTATCATATCATTGAAATATTAGTAATCATATATTTTATACAACGATTATATTTTTAAAATTAATTGAAATAAATGGAATTTTCTTTTTCTACAAAAAATTCAAATTCTTTAACAAAAATGTAAATTTCGTTTTTTTTTTTTTTTTCATCTTTCTTAAAAAGAAATACAAAATTTAAAATTGAGGTAAATATAAATAAATGAAAAATATTTAAAAAAAAAAAAAAAAAAAAAAAAAAAAACATAAAAGAAAAAAAGAGGAAATGAAAATTTAAAATTGAAAAAAATTATTTTTAAATAGAAATTAAATTAGAATAAAATTTGATATATAAATTTAAACGTCAAATTTGTTAACATTTTTGCAACATATGAGTGTGATAAGCATAAAACGATTAGGTGGAAAATTTTAATATTAATTGACAAAAAAAAAAATTTGCTGAAGAAAAAAAAAGGTAAAGTAATGAATGAATGAATTTGATTAGTAAATTAATTTGATCAGTAAATTAGCACACAAATGATATGATATTATTATTGTTTATTGATAATCATTGCAAAATATTATCAATATTAACATCTGTTTATTGATATACTTTTACTGATAACGTTGTATATACTTTTAATGATACTTTTACTTTATACATACTTTTACTAATATGTTATTATCATTTCTATCATCTTTTTTTTCTTATCATATTTGCATAATTGATAAATGTTTAATTATATATACACAAATAATAATAATAATAAAAAAACTATCGCTGCACATATGTTAAATTAAAATATTCAAAGTAAAACAATTCAAAGAAAAAAAAGAAAAAATTTAATTTTAATTTAATTAAAATTAACTCACTTAATGTTTTGTTATTATAAGTAATTTTTGTTTGATGATTTCGAAATGTCGTATTGTATGTTGATTGTATACCATCATTTTGATTATCATTATCAAATGAATGATACATATTAATTGTAGCATTTTTCCAACTATCATTAGCACCAGGTGGACTTTCTGACACTGTTCTAACACTTGCATGATCTGGACTTTTTGACATAAATCGATTTGTATTAGATTTTAAATTAATCATTAAGCTAGCATCATCTTCATCACAATTTTTTATCATCACTGAGGTGCTTTTATCAATTGATAATTCATTGATATTCGTTGCTAAATTCATTATCATCTTCTTTTCTTCTTCTTCTTCGCCTTTTCCTTCTCCTTCTTCTTTCTTTTCTTCTTCTCTTTTATGAAATTTCGAATTCTTTCCAATTTCTTCCTCATCATTGATTTCAATATTTTGAGTATCAGTTGAAGTAATCCATACATTTACTACTTCATTATCAATAATTTGACCTTTACTCTTAGCAATTATCATATCACTTTCAATTGTTTCATCATTTATCATACCTTTTTGTTTTTCATCATTTTCAATTTTATCATTCGTTTTGTTGTTTGTTTGTTGCTTAATTTCATTGTCATCAGTAGCATTTTGTGATAATTTCGCAGCATCACAATTGTCCAAAGTTTGTTCATCCATTTGAACATCAAATTTAACAATCATAGAATTTGTATTTTTTAAAATACACTCTGATCCATCATTATCATCATTTGTTGAGCAGAAATTTTCATCATTCGCATAAATTGATTTGCAGTTTTGAAGTGAATTGGAAATTTCCAATAATTTTGCTTCCACGTTTGGCAATGATATTACATCAACATCATTACCATTATTATTATCATAATTATCACCATTGTTATCATCATCATCATCATTATCATCCAGTGCTAGTGATGGTGGTAAATTATTTGAAATTGTTAAAGTTGTTGATGGTGATGCTGAACTTGTTTGTGATTCGGACATTCACTGATGAAAAATTTGTGAAGAATATCTTCTTTCTCAAATGCCTAACAAAAATTTATAAATTTCATTTTATAAAAAAATTCACTATCTCAAGAAAGGAAAAAAAAAAACAAGAATGAGAGAAAGAAACGAGAAAAAGAAGAAAAAATTAATTTTAATTTTAAATTAAAATCATTTATAATACAAACATTTTCATCGTATATCATTTTTACAAACAAATTTATTGATATGTGATTGATAAAAAAAAAAAAAAGAGAGGAATAAATCAATTTATAAGTCATTACTTAATTTTAATAAAAGAAATTAATTTGAAAAAAAAATCGATTAGACAATAATTTTTTTTTAATAGAAAAAGATGAATGAATGATAACAAAAAACATTTACTAAAATATAATATAAAATGAAATTAATAATTCTATTAATTTTTAATTAGAAAATCATCAAAATGCCAATCGTATTGGTTGTAAACAATTTTCTGTAATATTGCTGAAAGGTAAACGAAGAGCAATAATATGTGACATTAATGTGACATTACTGTTACGAATTACAAATTTGATCAAAATTCATAGCAATTCTAAAATATATGTGTAATAGAATAGTATTTGTATAGTTGTTGTAATAATTAAAATTTTAATTTTTATCTTAATAAAATTGCAGAAAAAAGAGAGAGATCAAAAAAGAAATCTTTTTTCATTCATTAAATTAAATTGAAAATAATTTTTATTAAAATTTAGAACTAATTTTATCATCTAAAAATAGAAAAGCTTTGGAGCAAAAAAAAAAAAAGAGATGAAAAATTAAAATAGAATGAAAATGAAGGATAGATTAATTAGAAAAAGAATGGAATTTTTCTTTTCGTTTCTTTTTTTTTTTTTTCAGAATAATAAATTGATAAAAGAATAAATAATGCATAGAAAAATGAGAAATGAAAAAAAAAAAGATCATTTTATAATTGAATTTAAGAAATAAAAATAAAACGAATGAAAAAATGATTAAATTACGAATAATATTTAATATAATTTACCTAATTGTTAACAAATTGAATGAAAATATTTGGAATGTATACAAAAAAGAAAAAAATTTTTTTTTTTTTTTGTTAAATTTATTATTTGATAAAGAGGAATGAAGAAGAAAAAGGAATCGATTGATAAAATTGATAATATTGGTATAAATATATAATTCGTTTTTTTATTTTTTTTTAAATTTATTGATATATAAATATATTTTGCATTTTTTCGATTTATTAATATAAATATATTTTGTTTTTTTAAAATTAATAATAACTTATATGAAAAATGAAAAAAAATAAATAAATAAATAAAATACTGTAAACAATTAATACTATTATTAATTTTAGCCAGTTAACTGAAAATAAAAATTATTCATTAATACATATATATGATAATAAATGAAGGTCATAGGATAACTGATAAATTAATAAGTGAAAATGATAGAATAATTGATAAATTAATAAATGAAAATGATAGAATAATTGATAAATTAATAAATGAAAATGATAGAATAATTGATAAATTAATAAATAAAAGTGATAGAATAACTGATAAATTAATAAATAAAAATGGTTGAATAACTGATAATATAATATGTTGAAAATAATAATAATAATAAGATGAAGAAAGAAAAAAAAATAAGAAAAAAGGAATTTAAAATGAGAAAGTTTAAAGGAATGAAAATTTGATATGAAATAGAAGAAATGTGTCAGCTGCTTTTCAGCTTTCAAATTTACAATGAAATGAGGAAAATGAATGCCTTAACTATCATTCATCTGTTCCATTCATCCACTGATTTCAATTTAACTAAATCATTCATTTTACTATTACTATTGCTATCAGTGAATCAATAAGCCATCGCAGTGATAAGAAAAGATAATCAAATATATAAAGAGAGAGAGAGAGAGAGAGAGGGAGGGAGAGAGGGGAGAAGAATGAAGGATGAGAAATTAGATTAGAGAAGAAATAAAATAACAAAATATATATATATATATATTGAAATAAGAAATGAGGATTAGGAAGAAAGAGAGAGAGAGAGAGAGAAAGAGAAAAAGATATAAGAGACAAGAAGATAGAGAGAGAAAGAAGAGAATTAAAAATGGTAATGAATGATTGATTGTTATTGATGATAATAATTGGTGATAATAATAGTAAATGTTAATCAGATTAGAAAAAATATATATGCAAAAAATATCTTTAAAATAAAAAAAAATAAGGGAGAAAGAGAGGGAGAAAAAGGGAGAGAGAAGAAGAAAAAGGTGGAAAAAAGGTAATGATTGATATTACTGATGATAATAATAATGATAATAACAACAATACTGATGATAATAAAATGATAAGGAAATAAAAGAAGGAGAAGAATAAAAAATAAATTAAAATGTATCAAAAAATAGAAAATGTTAAAAATATCTATTAATAAAAATGAAGATATTTCGATAAGATGATAATAATGATAATGATAAATATGATGTAATGTTTAATACACAATTCTTCTTTTAAGTTTAAAAGATTTTAATTAACAACAACAACAACAACACATTTCTTCTTTATTCACGTAAAATTTACTATCATCATTATCATTATCACAACTATCAATTAATCCTATTCATTTCTATTCAAAATTAAATGTTAAAATACATAATGCAAAACTTTAATTATATTAAAAGTTTAAAAAAAAACGTGATCTACGTGATACAATTTGTAGTTAAAGTTGTAGTACGCATTAAAAAAAGGTTATACGTAGGAGAAAAATTCTTATAGTAGAGAAAAATTAACAAAATGAAATTCGATGTTATTAATAAATATAATACGATAATGCATTTATTACGTACATACTTTAAAAGTTTATAAATGTTAAGGTAATACTTTCTAAAAAGAAAAGTAAATGATGAGAAATTTTTAGAAAGAAATTTGATTGAATTGTATGTAAAATATATAAATGATATGATTAAGATAAGTATAATGATATGAAATTATATATTATAAAGAAATTACAAATGATAATATAATTATGTTAAAAGGCTATTAAAAAAATTTTTTTTACAAATTTCTGCTAAAAATAATGGATGAATTGTTTATTATTTAAAAAATTTATTTAATAAAAAGTTTGAACTTAGTAATATGCTGAATAGTAATAAACAAAAATTAAATAAACCTAACTCAGTAGCATATTTTCAGCTATAAAGCAGAAAGCGGAAAAGTGACATTTACGCATCAATGAATTAATTCAATAATATGCAACATCTAAACTATTTTATTCACAATCATTTGAATTTTAAACAAATGTTACTAGGTGACAAAGTTACCGGAAGCAGTAGTATTTGCATTTTAGATATCACTTCTCTTTCTTTCTTTCTTCCTCTCTCTCTCTCTCTCTCTTTTTAATTTATGTTTCGCCTCTAATATTTTGCTTTTAATTTTAACGATTAAAAATTTTAATTATTTCAGAATTTTTTTTTTTCAAACAAACAGAAGGGAGGAAAAAAAATGCGAAATGAAACAAATTTATAGATATAATATAAATGAAAAGTATAAAATCTTTTAATTTTCCAATTTAGAAAAAAAAAAGAAAGAAAAAAAGATGAAAAGACAAAAAAAAAAAAATTAAAAAGGAAAAATAAACAAAAACAAACTAAAAGTATTTTGAAATTCTTGAATTTCAAAATGATCCATAAAGTAATCAACCCCCTATCATATCATTTTTCATAAAAAGGAAAAATTTGAAAAATTGAAGAAAGAAGAAAACAATGAAGAAATCAAAGATCAAAATGGAGAATATAGGAAATTTAAAAAGAAAAAGAAATTTAAAAATTTTTTTTTTTGAAAACAAATAGAAAAAAGACAAAAGAAGAGAAAAAATTATTAATAATGAAATGAATGATAAATGATTAGTTAATAAGTAAACAAATAAATAAATAAACATGTAAACAAATAAATAAATGAAGTACTAATCAATGTTAAAACAAACATTTAATAAAATAAATTAAATATGTTATTAGAAAGTTCATATAGTATAATAGCAAGTTAAAATTTTTGATTAGCATTAAACAAATTGAATGAGTCATATTATCATTTTTTATTTGTTAATGACTTAAAAATTTTTTAATGATATGTAAATTTTTATTTAAAAATAAAAAAAATACTCCAATCCTAACAAAATTTTAAGACTAAATTAACTGGTTAATTAATTAATTTATATTTTGGTAATAATATTAAGTCTTAAAATTTCCATATCATTCATATTAATAAGAAAAAACTAAAATTTATACTAATTATTTTATTAATGTATTTTAAAAAATAATAGTTGAAAAAATCTTTAATTCATATTACATCAAAAAGATATTATTGATTAACACTAATTCTGTTCAAGATTAAAAATATTAAATTTTTTTAAAGTAAACACATTATTTTATTGATGATTTACTTGATTAATTTATTTCGAAGTATCATATGGGAATGATAATAATAAGTTTTTGAAAGTAATCAGAAATCAACAAAATTGACTAAATATTTAATTTATATTTATTACATCAAAGTTAAGATTAAATTAATTAGCTAATTAATTAATCTATAAATTCTATCTCTAAATAGCTAATTAATTAATTCATAATTTTTACTCTAAACAGCTAATTAAATAATTAATTTGTGATTTTTACTCTAAACAGCTAATTAATTAATCTATAATTTTTCCTCCAAATAATCCCTTATTAGCAATAGTTAAACTTGTGAAATTGAAACAGTAATGATAAAAATGATAATTGACGTAAAACAATAATTTTGCTATCTAAAATCTAAATGCTATTAATTAATTGATGAATTAATTTAATTTCATAAATTATCTTTAATCATTAATTAATTATATTTAAATGAATTAAAATTTAAACCCTTACAAAAAAAAAAATTACTTTTCAATTGAAAAAGAAATAAAACAGCGCTATGAAAACTAGCGCCAAATAATCATTTTTATCTTAGCATTATCAAAAATGCACTTTTTACAAAAAGGGAAACAAACAGAGAGGGAGAGAGAGAGGGAGAGGGGGAGAGAGAGAAAAGAGAAGAGAAGAGATAATGCATCTTGAATCATCCATATTAAACATTTTTTTTTTTTTTTAAGATTTATTTTTATCCAATCAAATTGAACAACAAAATTTATGAATTGTACAAATTCTTAGCTAATACAAATAATAATGATAGGAATGTTTTGAAAATTATCAAATTTAAAAAATAGATTTCTTATAAAGTAAAATAAATTAATTATTTAATTATAATCCTAAAATTTAATTAAAGTTTATGCTTGAAAAATAACTGTTAATAACTGTATGATATTTAATATAAATTCTTAAATAGAAATAATCAGTTTAATCTATGCTAAAATATAAGCCAAAGATATTTTGTATTTTTTATTTATTTATTTTATTTTTTTTTTTTGGATATAATAAAAAGATAATGTTTATATTATAAAGAAATCTCGAAAAATAAACAAATGAATGTATTATATAAATAATAATGTAAAAATCAGAAATCATAACAAAAAGTCGGAATTGTATTACGGAACTGAAAAAAAAATGTTACGTAGAACATTGCAAAAAATAAAAATAAAAATAAAAAACAAAACAAAACAAAAAAAAAAATAAAAGGAAAAAAGTTAACAAAAAAAGTAAGTTTCAAAAAAAAAAGAGAAAAGAAATTCAATATTAGAATGGTTTAGTTTAAAATTAAATAAATTAAAAAATTTAAATTTAATAATTGAATGATAATAGAAAATATAAATGAATATACCAGTTGAAGAAATTGATGTACGATGACTTTGTGCATAATAAATAGAACGTGGTGATGAAGACCTAGAAAAATATTTTTTTTTTTTTTTTAAATTAAATTTTAAATAATTTATAACACTTAAAAAAATGAAGGAAAAAAAAAACAATTATCATATATGATTGAATATCACTAATGAAATTCAAATGATCATAATTATGTTTGGAAAAGAAAAAAATAAGAATAATTAAATTTTGCATATCTAAAATTTGAAATTGAATAAAATGAAAGAAAAAATGAATTTAGGAATCAAAAAAAGAGACATCTGAATTTTCATTGTTTTACTTAAAAAAAAAAAAGTTTAATTCAAAGATTTATTTTTTAAATATGAAAAAAAAAATTTGTTATTTTAATAGCACTAACTTTTATATATCTGTTTATAATGTTTATTAATTATTATATAACAATGATCATTTATCACTTATAATTTTATAACTAATACTTTAAAAAAATTAAAAAAAATCAACACTTATCATATATGATTTAATATTACTAATAAATAACTTTTACAATTATAACTTTTGACGAAAATAATTAATTTTTGCATATTTAAAATTTGAAATTGAATAAAATGAAAGAAAAGATGAATTTAAGAATTAAAATAAATTAAATATTCCAAGTATCAGTGATAATGATAACCTATAAGTGATATTATTGACTGGTTGCATTGGTGGTATCACATCTTTGGCACCTTCAAATAAAAGCGGATGATATGGTTGCGGTGTTTCACGACGTACCGGAAATGCTGGTGTTGCAGATCGATTAGATGATGGAGCTAATGACCAGTCCTTAAAATTAAACCACAACGATTACGAATTTATTATAAATTCAAAAGGTTATAATTTTAATTTGATAAAAATTTTAAATTTCATAATTTTAATTTATCAAATTAATTTCTTTCTTTCTTCCGTTTTTTTTTTGAAAAAATCTTTGTTTAGTAATATTTAAAGTATAAATTCAATATGAATGCATTTAGTGTTAAACTAAAATTACTACAAAGAATGCATGCAAGTGCACTTGCAAAATTTGCAATACTTGAATAAATAGCAAACAAAATTGATAAATTTCGCTTCAATTATTGTTTGTTTCTATCGTGATGACAATAGCTATATTTATAATTAAAATTCTAATTAAAAATTATAGAAATTATTAAATTCACTCCCTATAAGTTAATTTATCGAAGTTTTTTTTTTAAAAAAAAAGAAATTATTATTGCTAAGTAATATTTAAAGTTTAGGGATTTAACTGCTGTTTATTTCTATTAAAAAAAAAAAAAAAAAGAATAGAAAAAATAAAATTTTTACAAATTTAAATATATCTATGAGTGCATTTAGTGCTACATTAAAAATTACTAATTAATAGCGCATGCAAATTTGCAACACTTCAATAAACTGCAAACGAAATTGATGAATTCCGTTTCAATTATTACTTATTTAAAAGAAATAAAGAGAATTAAAAAGAATAAATGAATAAACTTCCCTCTAATATTTAGAATTTTTACAAATTTAATAATTAAATACAAGTTTTTTTCTTCTTCCAAAAAAATTTCTCACATATTTTTCTTTTCTTTTTTAAAAACTTTCTTAAACCTTCTTTCAAAAAATAAAACTTGCATTATTATTGTCATTTTTTTCTTTCCGTTCGTTCATAAGTTAATTAATTTAAATGATAATTTTAAATACTTTTTTTTTTTTAAAAAAGAATTAAATTACCTCAGTGGAATTTGATGGAGTGCGATTAATTAACGGTGATGATGTGCCATTTTGCTGAACATCACGCTTTTTTAAAATTGATTTCATTGAATTTGTTGAGGAATTCAATTCTACATGTGCATTATTATTGCCAATATTATTCTCCTATAATAGGAATAAATATTAAATTAATCATTTCAATATCATTTAGTGATAATAATTTGATAATAATCAGTATTAATTAATAATTACATTTTTAATTGATAAAATTGAAATTTCTAATTGACAAGAAATACTATAACATATATTCGATATAAAAAATGTAAGCTAATACAAAGTATTCTTTTAATCAAAACTTTTTTTATTTCTTTTCTTTCGCTTTTTGTTATCTTACAAGGAAAAAAAGAAATTAAAAACAAATTTTGCAAAATTGAAATTCAAATTTTTATATTCCATTTTTTTCATTTATTAAGTAAAACTTGAAAAATTTTTCATGCACAAAGCAGTAAATATTAAAATTTATAACATTTTTTTTTTTTGTCTATGACAGAAAAATTATAATTGTATTTAAAGTATAATTAATATAAAAATATATTTATTCAAACAAATTTACATTAAATATTTTTGTAATTTATTAATGTAAGACAAAGCAAGATGAAATTTTACTACAAATATTCAAAAAAAAGTATTGCAAAAGAAATGAAACAAACTTAAATTTAATTAATTATTTGTTACTTTTTAATAATTTTTTCAACAAAATTAATTTTTAAATTAATTTCGCTTTTTTTTCCAAAAAAAAAACAATTCAATTTAATTAATTTAATGATATAGAAACTACAGAAAAAAAAAAATTCATTTTGCATGGAAAAGAAAAAATGGCAGAAATGTATGCAAATCATTGTCTTAATTTCAATTTTAATTTTAATTATTTCTCAAAGTCCGCAAAAAAACAAATAAACAAACAAATACACTCATAAATATAAAACTGTCTGATTTATCAACAAAATTTTTAGTGTTTTAATATCTTTTCAAGATATGAAAAAAAAAAAGAAAACATTTGAGAAGATTGAAAAATTTTTTTTTTCAAAAATAATTTGTTTAATTTAACAAATTTAATAATAAAAAATTACACAAAACAAAATAAATAACAACAAACAACAATAACTACTATTGTATAACATAATTTAACAAAAAATGTTCACTTTTTGTGATTTGGTTATTTAACTCAAAATTAAAATAAAAATTATTTGAATGTACGAAAAAAAAAAAAGCATTCCAATATATATGATTGAATAGATTATATTACAATTGAAATATTATTGAAAATTTAAATCAGCCATTTTATTGGAATAAAAAAAAAAGGAAAAAAAAATAATAATATTATTCATACAAAACATTTGGAAAAGATATGAAAGAGATTTTATATACAATTTTTAACATTTCAAATTTTATTCCGTTCATTGCCTTTTTATTTTTTTTTTAGAAAAAATTCCAATTTTTCTTTGTCAAATATTTCAAAAAAAAAAAAAAAAAAAAAAGAAACAGAGAAAGAGAGAGAGAGGAAGAGAAAAAAAAAATAATGTTTAAAATTCAATTAAATATTATTTTCTACAAATAATAACTAAAGCATATATTACTAATGGAATTGTATTGAAATTTAATTTTGTAAACAAATAAAAAGAAATGAAAGAATGCAAATCAATCAAAATGAACATTTGATAGTTGGAAATTTTATTTTAAATTAAAAATAAAACAGGTAGGAGAAAAAAAGGAAATCTAATAGAAATTTATTTTTAAATTATTTTATTGGTACTAATCTTCTATTCTTATTTGTTTCTATGGAAGTAATCCTAAAGCAAATGCAACAGGTATAAGTTATTTGGAAATAACGGGAAGAATTCAATGTATACGAGGTGATTTGACCGAGATATCTCGGTACCTGCACCAGGTAAATGTAATTTTCCTGTTATCAACTAGTAGAATTGCTGCTCTAACTTTATTATTCGATGTGAAAATGTAAATAAACTAAAATGAAAAAAAAAAAACTAAAATATAAAATATTTGAATAGCATTTCAATCGTTAATTTAACATTTTAATAACTTTTAATCGTTAATAAAAAAAAGAAAAAATTCGTTTTTTATTTCGAAAAGACATGGAATTTTATTAATGATTTACAAAATTATAATTATATAATAATATTATAAATAATATAATTAGTCAATAAATTTTAAGAGTAATATTATTGAAATCTTTTTTTAACTTTTTAAATACTTTTTTCAGATTTTTTAAAATACTGTCTTAAAAATTTTTTTTTAAATATAATAAAAAATTAATTAAAACTAATTTTTATTTTGTTTAACATTAGAAAAAAGAACTAAATAGGAAGAAAAAAAGAAACAAAACAAAACAAAGAAAAAACATATATGAAGTAAATGTGAAGAAAAAGTTAGAAGTACTACTTTTCTCTCTCCTTTTCCTTGTAAAACAAATGATAATGAATTGAAAAGAATAAATCGGATCAGATTGGATCGGATTGGATCGAATCAAATCAAATCGGATCGGCGGTATTGGAAAAAAGAAATTGATAACAAAGAGCAATGAAGAATGAAGGGAGAACGAAAAGGAAGGAATAATATCTATTATCAATAATGTGCAAATAAATATTTCCAATTTGAAATGGAGAAAGAGGGAAAAGGCAAAAAGAAAAAAGAAAGCAACGACAGATGTTAACAATATGTTTTGCATAGACAATAACAACACTAGTAACAATAATAAAAGCAACGACAATAGCAAATAGCAATAACAATAGTAACACCAGCAACAAATAGAAACAATAGCAATAGTGACAACAATAGCAGCAGCAATAAAAATAGCAATAGCAGTAACAATAACGACTACAGCAACAACAGGAGCAACAAACAAAAATAACAATAACAGCAACAACAATAGCAGTTAACAATAACGATAAATAATAACCAACAGAGTTAACAATAACGGTAAATAACAACCAATAGCGACAACAATAGTAGCAACAACAACAGTAACAGCATTAGCAGTAATAACAACAATAACGATAACATTAGCAACAATAACAGTAACAACAATAACAAGAACAAGAACAATAGCAATAATATCATTAAAAATTTTTGAAAATAGGAAAGAATGAATGAGTTGAGATAGCGATGATCCATCGGTTGCTAGCAAATGAACTATTTCATTTGAAAATTTTTTTAAAATTTTAGCAAAAATTTTTCACTGTGATATAAGAAAAGTTAAAGTTAGAAAAAAGAAAGGAAAAATGATGAAAAGCTAAAGTGAATGAATGATAAGAGTTTAAGTTGATGAAAGAATGGAAAATATGTTATGTTTAAAAACTATTTTTGCTTTTTTTTTTAAAAAATTTTTTTTTTTTTTTTTTTTTTTTTTTTTTCACCTTCAAATGAATATTTTGTGAAAAAGAAAAAAATGTAAAGCAATGGAAAGAGAAAATATATTTCGTTTCAATTAAAATATCTTAAACGATTGCGATTTATTTCATCCCTTCCTTCGTCTTACTTTCTTTTCAAAACCAAAAAATATATATATATGTATCTTCTTTCGTGAAAAAAATTGTTGTAAATGAATTAAAAGTAATATTACTGCTTTTTTTCTTTCTTTTCTATTTCAAAAAAAATTTTTTAGTTTTTTTAAAAAAAAAAAAACTATCAATATTTTTAAAATAATTATGAAAAATTTAATTTATTAAAGTTAAAAGCTAGTTTACTTTTAAATTGCTATAAAGAAGTAAAAACAATATTTTGTTTTTGTTTTCTGTTTTTATCGAAATGTCCAATTAAATATATTTTAGATAATTAAATTTAGTTAATTAAAAAATATATGCATTTGAAAAAAAAAATATGTTCATTACAGAAAATATTGAATGAAAAATTTTTGATAATGACAATACGAGTAAACAGATAGCAATAACAGTGATAATAAGAAAAATATATATTTGATAATATTGCATATCATATGATAAGAAGTTGTTAAAGGTGATAAGCAAAATAATTTTTTACAAAAAAATAACTCAAAATTTTCATTTCAAAAAGTGAAATAAAAATTTTTTCATGAACATTTAAAAAAAGAAATAATAAATTTTTATTTTTATTTGCTAAAAGAAAATGCAAAATTCTCGAACAAAACAAATATGCATTAGCAGATAAAAGCTACATTAATCATTTGAATATATTTTAAAAAGAAAACAAAACAAAGAGGAAGAAAAAAAATATTTAAGATGAATGTACAATTGATAAGCATTGATAAGGAAAGTGATGATGAATAACAAAATTAAAAATAAAATATTATTGTCTTTTTCAATTTTTTTTTTTTTTTTTGTAGATAATATATCATTGATATAAGATTAAAATATGAATAAAAACTTACTTTTACAATATTTCTCAAATGGCTAAATTCGTTATCATCAAAATCACCGTTATCATGTTCAATGCTATCACTACGATTAATTTGATTTCGTTCACGCTGATATTGTGACTAGAAAAAAAGAAGGAAAACATTTTTGAACATTTTAAAATTATCACTGAAATATCAAATTTTTACTAAAATTTCAAATTAACATTTCGTTTCCAAAAAAAAAAAAGATTTACTTTGCTGGTAAAATTGATTAATATGGAAATATTAAAATTATTGTAAAAATTTTTAAAATTATCACCATTTATTATTTTTAAAGAAAAAAAATTTACTTTTAAAATTTATTAAAGAAATTTTATCATATTTTTGTGATAAATAATATTAATGATTAAAATTGATTTTGAAAAAAAAAAAAAATGATAAGTATTACTTACTTCTTGAAATGGTGTCCTAATACGATATCGTCTTGAATATGGACTTGATGATGGACTTTGTGAACGAGGTCGTAATGGTGGTGTTGGTGGCTTATGTTTGACAATATCTGAAGGCCTAAAATTATTAATTTTATTTTTTAAAAAAAAAGCATTTCAAAATTTTGTACATTTCATAATTTATTATTTTATATATTTATGTGCAAAAAAAAAAAAAAAAAACTTTACACTGAAAAAAAGACATAAGTAAAAAAGGAGTAAAAAAATGCGAAAAATAAAAAATGCTGAAATAAAAAGTAAATTTTTCTATATTAATTACAATTAAAAATTAAATTTGAAAAAAATACGTTGGTAAAAAAGTTAGAAAAAAAAATCTAATCTGCTAAAAGTAGCACTTTAAAATTATTTACAGTTAAAATTTTAAACTAAAAAAAAAAAAAACACGTAAGTACAAAGTAAAGAAAACAAAATACGTGAATTAAAAAAGAAAAAAAAAAAACGAAAACAATATTTGAGAAAAACAAAATAAAATTTTTGCATTACTTACAATCAAAAATCAGACTAAAGATGAAAAACATAAAGTTAAAGACAAAGTTAAAAAAAAAAACAATAAAAGTAAAACTGCTAAGTTGTTTACGAATGCTTACAATCAGATTAAAGAAAAAATAAATAAATAAAACACGTAAATACAAAGTAAAAAAAAAAAAACTAATAAAAATAAAACTGCTAAATTGCATACATATGCTTACAATCAGACTAAAAAAAGTAAAAAATAGAAGTACAAAGTAGAAAAAATAAAAAATAAAACTTTTTCATAGCTTACAATTAAAAATTAAACCTGAAAAAGACAAAATACAAAGTTAAAGAAAGAAAATAAAATAAGCAATAAAAGTAAAACTTCTAAATTGCTTACAATGCTTACAGTCAAACTAAAAAAGAAAAATTTAATAAAAAAATAAAATTTCTTCATTGTTTACAATTAAAAATTAAACTTAAAAAATTGAAACATATAAATACATAAAATAAAAATTAAAAATATACATAAAAATTAAAAAAAATATATAAAATAAAAATATACATAAAAATTAAAAAAAATATATAAAATTAAAAATATACATAAACATAAAAAAAATTAAAAAAGTTTTGAAATGAAAAAAAAAAAAAAAAAAAAAAAAACTTACTTTGGTGGTAGAGCTGACGAATTGTTAAAATCTTTCATTTTTCGATTTGCATAATGAGTCATTTCATCAATGATTCGATTATCATCTTCATTATCATGATATGGTGAACGTACGTTTTGTAAGCGTTCCTCTTCAATTCGATATTCAATTAATGGATCAACAGATTTACCATAACTTTCTAAGCTATACGTACGTTCGTCATTTTCACGTTTTATTTGTCTATCATCATTTACATGTTTCAATTCCTGTAAGATTTTTCTTTTGTTTATTTCATTTCTTATTAATTTAGTATTTGAATTTTTCCTTTCTTTTCACACAACTTTATGTGTATAAATTTTGTTTTATTTTATTAAATATTTATTTAAAAAAAATTTTTTTTTGTATAAAAATTATTCAAATTTTTTGTTAACGCAAACAGAAGACGTTTAATTATTTTGAAATTTTTTTTTTCTTCAAAATAAAAAAAGACTAAATTAAATATACTTAAATATTTTTTTACTGAAAATAAAAATATATAAGTTAAAAAATATTTGTAGTAAAACTTTTAAAAATACTTCTGGTCGAAAAAAAAAATTTTTGATTCAATAATATTTTTTTTCACACTTCTTTTTCTATTTTTTTTTTTTCTTTGATTTGAACAAAAATTTGTACTTTAAAAGAAAACGCATAGTAGCAAAAAAGAAAAGAGAAGAAAATTATATTTCATACTTTAATTTAAATTTATTTTCAATTTTTAAATTTTTAAAAAGTTTTGATTGATAAATTGCTGATCAGTGGATTTGTACAGTAATTTACTGATCGACACATTATTGATTCGAAAAATTGTGTTTACTGATCGACATATTATTGATTCGATAAATTTGTGAAATAAATAAGATCAATTTTCAATTGTTGATCAAGAAATTGCTGATCGATGAATTTGTACAATTAATTATTGATCGATAAAGTATTAAATCGGCAAATTTGTGCAATAAATAAAATAGTTTAAAAAAAAAAAAAGTTTAGCAAAAAAAATTGAAATAAATTTTTCATGGAATTTTTCTTTTTTTTTTTCTTAAAAAAAAACCTCAAGGAGTAATTTCTCTTGTCGTTTTCGTCGTAACATTTCCGGATTGTTTTCTCGTTTTGCTTTCAATTTTTTCAATTGAAATTTCAACCAATCATCGGCATTTTCAGCATCTGTCAATGAATCATAACGATTGTGAGCAAACAATCGATTATCGGAAGATTCACTGAAAAATATTAATGAATTTATTAATTCTAATTTAAATCAAAATAATTCTAATAATTTATTTTTGATGAATAATTTGATAGAAGAAAAAGAAAAGAAATCAAAAATATTTCTTTTCTTTTTTAAAAAATATTCAACTAAATATTATAATTAAAAAAGAAATTATTACTTCTTTTTTTTTTTGGGATTTTTTTCTTTTTTTTTTGATAAATTATATAATTATAAAAATTACTAATCTTTCTTTTTTACTTTTTATTATTGCATTTTTTGTGCAAAAAAAAAAATTTGTTTATTTATGAATGTGTTGATTTACCGATAAAACGGAGCGGAAGTAGCAGAGCGACAATTACGCATTCGAAATGCTTCCCGATTCTGATTTACATTGTTAAGCGAAATTGTTGGCTTCGATGATAAGAAATAGTCATCAAAATTTGATTGATTTCTAAAAGGGGAAAAAAAAAAAGAATAAAAAATTTTCTTTTTACTACTAAAATTAAAATTTCTTCATTTTATCTTTTTTTAATAGCAAAAATGGAAAATAGCTGTATACATAGCTTACATTTTTTATTTGAATTTATTTTGAAATCAAATTTGAATTTCTAATTGAAAATGGAAAAAATAAAACTAAGCTAATTTTTCTCAACAAAAAATAAAAGAAATAATTTAATTTTCTATCATTTATAAAAACAGAGTGGAAATAATGCAAATTTAGTTTACAGCAATTTTTTATGCAAAATTTTAAATTTAGAATAAGAGAACAAAAAAGCAGAAGGAAATTTTAAATATTGTTGCAATCAAAATTATAAAAATTAGGTAAAAAATAAATCTATTTTTGTTTACTTTTTGTTTATTTAATTTCTTTTTTCTTAGGTAAATTTATTTGATTTAATCAAAAATTAAAAGTTTTCATTTTTTTTTATTTCATCGTTTATTTATTTATACTTTTTCTTTCTTTTTTTTAAAATACTTCATTACTTCTGCATTCGTTTTATCGGTAAGCAATTTTTTTTAAACAATTTTTTGCAGACTAAAAATTTCATTTCATTTTCAAAAAAAAAAACTAACATAAATTTATAATCAATCTTTCTACTATTCATTTGTAATGTTAAAAGAAAAAAAATTAACTTAAAATAAAATATATAATTTGTAGCAAAATTCCTTTCTTATAATAATATTTAAAATAAATGAGAAAGAAAATAAATTAATGAATGAGTAATTAATTATTTAGATCAAATATTTGTTCTAATTATAACTAATTGTAGTTATAACCTAATTTATTGCTTTATGAAATTTTTGAAAAAGTAAAAAAAAAATTATAGAAGTAATTGAATTTGATCAAAAAATACTACTTAATATTGTTGTTTATATTAGCATAATTTAGCAATAAAAGCATGCTTAGATGGTTACTGCATCGTGCATTTGCATCGCGCATTTGCACGAATGCAATTTTCAATGCTTGCTAATATAAACTAAAATAAATTTAAAATCAAATAGGAAATCATAAATGCCAACATTATATCATATATTACTATTGATAAATTTTCAATTGAATATTTTAATTCATATGAAAAAAAAAGACAAAAAAGCTTTCCAACTTACAATTTAAATTAATAAATCATTTTGCATCCTTTCGCTATTTGATAAAATTTTATTATTATTTATTTGTTATTAAAATTTAAAAGTTAACATTACTAAAAGTAACAAAATTGAATATTTATAAGTCATATATGTATATATTCATGCATTAAATTCAGTAAAATTAGTTCGATAATTTTAGTATCGATTAGTCAATAAAGAATTAAATTAGATTTGATAGGAATTAATTAATATTTTGATATTAAATAGTTATAAAAAATAGTTTTTTAGGAATTAATTCAACACAAAATATCAAAACATTCTTTATTCTTTTTTTTCTAATACTTCAATCCTTGTTTTTGTTAATATTAGTATTATACAAATTACTAAATAAGTCGATATCGAATACTTTTGCAGTAATTAAAATTATTTTTTCAAATACTAAATTTATTTTATTCATTATTTATAGGAAAAATTTGCCCTTTTTTTTGCTTTTAATATTTTAATTCTTTAAATTTCTAATAATTTCAAACTTCCAATCTTTAATTGTTAATTAATTTTTTCAAAAAATAAATATATAATTGAGAGTGGAAAATATTAGATAGTAAAACTTACTGATAGATTTTATTTTTTCCCGATATTCCGTTACTTTTCAAATTAGGTTCGTTCATTTTTGCTACTGCATCATCCGTTGTTGTTGTTGTTGTTGCTGTTATTGTTGTAGCTGCTGTTATTGTTGTATTATTTGTAAGTTAATTTTGATTCATATTTTTATTATCAAATTAATGTTCATAATCTTCTCTATTTAGATAAATAATTATCTTAATTATCAAATTCATTCTTATCACTTTTCTGTATAGATAATTAATTATTTTAATTATCAAATTCATTCTTATCACTTTCCTGTATGGATAATTAATTATCTTATTATCAAATTCATTCTTATCACTTTCCTGTATAGATAATTAATTATCAAATTCATTCTTATCACTTTCCTGTATAGATAATTAATTATCAAATTCATTCTTATCACTTTCCTGTATAGATAATTAATTATCAAATTCATTCTTATCACTTTCCTGTATAGATAATTAATTATCTTATTATCAAATTCATTCTTATCACTTTCCTGTATAGATAAATAATTATCATATTATCAAATTCATTCTTATCACTTTCCTGTGTAGATAATTAATTATCAAATTCATTCTTATCACTTTCCTGTATAGATAATTAATTATCTTATTATCAAATTCATTCTTATCACTTTCCTGTATGGATAATTAATTATCTTATTATCAAATTCATTCTTATCACTTTCCTGTATAGATAATTAATTATCAAATTCATTCTTATCACTTTCCCTATTTAGATAATTAATTGTTTTACCTGTTTTATTAATTGCATTATTTCTAATCGGTACTGTTGCTTGTGATGTATAAGTAAGATAGAAATCTGGATCGCAAAGATCATCCAAATCACTGCTAAATTAAAAATTAAATTAAATTTTTAAAGAAGAGAAAGAAAAAAGGAAGTAAAAATAAAATGGGAGGTTTTTACTCTAAAAAGAAGGATCAATGCATAGATGATAAAATGACAAAATATTTTTTTTTTTTTTTTTTTGATAAATATATGATAACTATAAAAAGAAAGGAGAATAAAAAAAAAAAAAAAATGATTGAGCAATAAATAAAAGTCTTATTTTAAAAAAGAAAAATAATGGAATAAGAAATGAAATATTTATTCTAAAAAAGAAAAGAAATGAAATATTTATTCTGAAAAAAGAAAAGAAATGAAATATTTATTTTAAAAAAGAAGAAAAAATGATAAAACAAGAAATGAATTATTTATTTAAAAAAAAAAAAAAAAAAAGGAAAGAAACATACTTATAAGCATCATCATTTAATGTTTTATATGAATCATATTTTGTTTTTCTTCGTTTTGACACATGCTTTGCTTGCTCCACAATCTATAAAAAAAAGGAGAGGAAAAAAAAAATAAAATTTAATTTAAATAAAAAATTAAATTTAATCATTTTCGTTATTCTTTTAAGCTAAATATTAAAGTTATACGTAGTGTAACACTGCAATATCAAAAATTACAATTTAAATGTAAATATATTAAGCAATTTAAATTAACAATTTAATTTGAAAAAAAGGAAAAATTTAATTTTTAACAAATTTTCTTTTTTTGGAAAAAATTTTAATATTTAATTTTATTCATTCATTGAAATATTATTATATTTGTGAAAAATTATGCTAATAGTTATAACTGTTCAAGTTGAAATATTTAATAAATAAGTGAAAGAAAGAAAGAAACGTACGACAGGTTTCTCTTCATCATTTACCGGATAATTTAATTTTGATAATTCCGTTTTTGGTGTTGAATTTGCAATCGGTCCATTTCCGGTACGATTGAAATCAGTTGGCGTAACACTCATATCTGTTATTTTATTATTATCACCAAAGAAAATACCGTTCGTTATCTGAAAAAAAAAAAAAAAAAAAACGTAGAAAAAAAATGCCAACAAAAATAAGCAAATAAAAAATTTTAAATTTAAATTTAAAACTTGAACAAAATTTTATAAATTACAAAAAATAGAAAAATAAATTTAAACGGAAAAGAAGATGAAATATTAAACAATTGAAAAAAAATATATATATATATAAGGAAAAGAGAAGTTGTCTTTAAATATATTTTTATCAAGAAATAAAATAAATTTATTGATGAAATTCTTAATTTAAATTCTAAACTTAAAAAAAAATACAAATTTTGAAAAATTTCAACAAAAATAACTGTAGTTAATAAAATTTTGAGAAAATAAAATAATTTTATAATATTAAGTCAACAAAAAAAAAAAAATAAATTTCGGTTAAATATTAATTTATCAATAAGTAAAAATTTTATTTTTCTATCTATTTCAATAAGATTGAATTCATGAAAACTTAGTAATAGCTAAGAAATTAATTAAAAACTAAAAATTATGTCTAAATTTTTATTAAAAAAAGATTTTTAATAAATTTCAAAAAAAAAAAAAAAAAAAAAAAAAAGAAAAAAAACAAAAAGTGGAAAAATAAGGAAATAAGACTATATCATTGGTTAAAAATATTTGAAAGAATGAAGCAATAAGTGTAGTTGTTGTTGTTTAAAAAAAAATGATTGTTTCGGTTTTTTTTTTTTTTTTTTTTTTTTTTAAATTCTTTTCTTTTACTTTTTTTTTTAACAAAAATTTTCAAACTAATTGTGTGGAAAAGTTTCGAACAGAAATGTTTTTTTTTTTTTCTTCGTTTTGAAAAATTACCCTTTTGAGATTAATATTTTTATTTTCTTTTTTCTTTTTTCTTTCTTTCGAATTCTATCTAACTTTTCTTTTTTGTAATTTTTTTTTTTTTGAAATGAAAATATTTTGCGCAATAAAAAATATATAAATATTTAGCAATTTATAAAAATTTTAATTTAAATGAAAAAAATTTTGATAAAACAATAAATTTTCATAAAATGAACGATTTAATAGAATGTAGAAAGTTTTTTTTTCTATTTTAAAACTAACAAAAATGCAATTATTTTTTTTTTTTTCTTGTAAAATTTAAATTAAATTTTTATTCAAAATAGTTAAATTTTCTTTTTTCTATTCTTTTTCTTTCTTTTTAATATTAATTTTTATTTACTGAAAAAAAAAAAGTTTCCAACATTTTATTAAACTGAAAAAGTGAAAAAAAAAAAAGAACTTTCGGTTCATTTTTCTTTTGTGTTTCATTGGAAAAAATTGATTTGAAAATACTTTGTTCAAAAAAAAAAAATTGCTTCAATTTTTTCTTCGTTTTACTTCAAAAAAAAAAAGAAAAAATTGTTTTGAATTTAAATTGAAGCTCAAAAGAAATTTTATTTTTATGTCATATGCATAAAATTATAAAAACTTATTTAATAAAAAAAAAAAAAGAAAAAATTTTGAAAATATTTTGTTCATTTTTTACATATTTTAATTATTATTTTTTAGATAATTTTGTTTTTCTTTTTTTTAAGAAATAGATTTCATAAATGGCAAAATTTTACAAAATATTGTTGCAATTCAGTTTTATTCCTATTATTTTTGCATTATAATTTCATTTCAAATTCATAAATACTAAATGGTAGTTTAAGTTTTTTTATTTTTAATTAATTTGAAAAAAAAATAACAAAATTAAATAATAAAAATCATAATGAAAACAGGGTAAAGAAAAATAATTATGAATTTAATATGTCACATATAAATTTATATAATTTAATGAATAATTTAATGACAACTGCGCTTTATATTTTATCATAAATTAATCTAAACAATATTTAATAATTTTGCTTACAATTTTTAAAATAATATGTTATTATACTAAAACATTTTTCAGGAAGCAAAAATCAAATTACAATTTGAAATTTCAAATTAACTGAATAAATGTACTGTATCTTATTATTATTATTATTATTATTATTATTATTATTATTATTATTATTATAACTATCATTGTTTAATATGCGTAAAATTTTATATTTTCCTTTTTCAAAATAAAATTTATTATTTTAAATTATTTTATTTTCTTCTCTTAATTCACAATTTCAAATTAAATAAATTATTGATATGTCAATATGGTTGTTTTATACATAAATTTATTATGCAAAATATATATTAAATCAAAGTTAATTAAAATTGAAGTTGATTAATTAAATGTTTTTTTTTTTTTGAAAAATAATGTTTTTGTAGATGTTTTCCAATTTAAATACTTTCTAACTATATTTTATCAATTAAAATATGACAAATTTCAAATTAATATAAATTAAATGAAAGTATAAAAATAAAAAATACAAATTATTATTACTGCAATATTGTTTTTAACATTTTATTACTTTTTATTTCTAAATAATTCTAGTAATTTACCTTTTCAATATCATCTTCCCATTTTGGTGTTTCAGGTAATCGTTGCAGATCGGTTGATTTGACTGGTACCATTGCAATTTCAGATGCTGACGGTGAAATATTTAATGCTGCTGTAGCTGTTTCATCAATTTTAAGACGTTGTGGCTTTCGTGGCGCCGTAAAATGTTCACTGAGAGCTCGAGCTGGTACATAGGAGAAGCATTTACTAGCTGGATCATATCTGTAAATTAATTAAAAATTAATTTAAAAAATATATTTTATTAAAAACGAAGAAAAAAAAAGAAGAAATCAATGAAAAAAATTAATTTTGTATTATTAATTCGACTATATGCAATTGAATAAATAAATTATAGCATAACCTAATTAAAATAATACAAAATTTCATTCGATACTTTTTACTTTTTTTTTCTAGAAAAATCAAACAAAAATTTAAGAAAAAAAAAATAAAGTTAAAAAAATTAATTTAAATAATTAAACAAAAATAAAAATTTTAATTAGAAATGGGAAGATTTTACTCCATTTTTTTTTTTTTCATTTGCTTTAAAATTTTTTTCAATTTTAATTTCTTTCGTAAAAAAATTTTTTTATTTTCATCATTCAATTATTATTATTTCTTCTACTATCTTTTACCATCAATTACCACTATTTTTTTTTTTTTTTTTACAAATTCTTTTTTTCATTTTTATCCTTCAATTACAATATTTTCTTCTTCATAGCTAACACTAATTATTTATATTTAACTTTAAAGAAATTACTTTAATTTTAGTTTATGCACAGAATAAAAGTATTAAATTAAATTATGCTAATTCTCCGATTCTTATTTTATGATCGATTAAAATTATTAAGCTAAACAAGTTTTGTTGATAAGCAAAAAAAAAAAAAAAGTTAATCTTATTTGATATTTGTGAAATTATTGAGAGAATGTAAATGAATAAATAATGTCAGAGAGAAATAAACAATAAACAAATCATTTCTCAAACAAAAAAGTAAACAAAAATCATTAATATCGCAGTGAATTAAGGATTAAGATAGCTTAAGATAAATGGCAGATACAAAATGCTACAATCTTCTTAAAATTTTACCCGGGGAAATTATTTAAATATTAATTCTGGGGAAATTACTTCAATATTAGTTCAGGGGAAATTATTTGAATATTATTTATTTAACTATACTATTATAATTATATTTTATATAACTATACAATATTAAAATTTTACTCGGAGAGATTATTTCAGATAATAATTGTGTTCTACCATCTAACTTTTTTTTTTTAAACTTTATTTAACTTTCTTAAAAAAAAATTTTCACTGGGGAAATTATTTGAAATTATTAACACAGGTTAATGATTGTGTTTTAATCTTAACTACTAAATTAATTAATTTAACCATTTTTTAAATTTTATCTAACTATACTTTTTAATTATTTACCTATACTATTAACTGAACTATTAAACTATAGTATGTTTTAACCTTAACTATTACAATTAATTGTTAACTATTATCAGTGCTATCCAAGCTCTCAAATTAATACTAATTTCAATCCTGGAAAATTTTGAAAAATAATTGAGAAAATGAAGATAAAGTTAATGATATAAACTTTATTATTATCTATTTTAACAATTATTTGTGTAATTTCAGATGACAATAAAATCTTTTTGTGTGTTGAAAATTAATTTTGACAAACATATGCCATTTTTATACAAAAAAAAAAAGAAAACTTTTACTAACGTTACGAATGTTTTGTTTTGTTATTTTTCCCTTTCAAAATTGAAAACAACAAACAAAATAAATTTAATTAAAAAAAAAAATTTGTTTTACCTATCTTTTGCAACTAAATCAGGTTCAATACCACGTGGTGTTGCTGCGTGCTGCTCGTCTACTGGACTTGCTACACGTACGCTTAAATTTGATCGAACGGACGCTGGAAGTACCGAATGAGCGCGTGTTATTACTTGTTCATTTCCCCTAAATATTAATTTTATTTTATTTTTATTTTTTTTGCATATATTGCTATAAATAAATAATTACAAATCAATAGAATTTATCCTTTTTTTTTTTTAAATTTATGCATTTTTTTTTTATTTTCCAGTTTTAATTCATAAAAAATTTTTTTACAATTATATTCTACGCAATTTTTAAGATGAATAAGTTTAGCGAATAGTAAAAAATATTGTAACAATTAATAAAGTAAATAATAATATTATAACAATTAACACTGGAAGATTATCCTAATATTACAATACATATAGGTTATTTTCACGTAAAAAAACACGTAGATCATTCGTAAGTGAAAAACACGTTAACAATATTTTTTTTATTTATATTACTAAATTAATTGAATAGTTTCAACAACAACAAAAAAAAAAGCTTTTGCAATTAGATGAAAACATTTCCATTACTTTTCATAAAGTGAAAAAATAAATTCACACCACTAAATTTTTTTTTTTTTGTAAAGAAATGCAAACTTTTATAAAATTACAAAATTAATAAAATTAATACATTACAATAGCAAAATTTTAATAAAAGAAAATTATTTCAATATATTATAATGTGCTAATCAATTAATTAATTAGGATGCTAATTAGCATCTATGACAAACTTTTAATGATACAACGAATCATTTTTCCGTTAGCAAAAGACAAAAAGGACAGGTAAACTTACCTTGTTTGTTCTGAGTAGTAATGATCAGTGCTAGCATTCATTCTTTCTTCCAGGTTGATACGTGGCTTTGGTGGTGGCAGCGGTGGCATGCCACTTTTTTCCTATAATAATTAATGATAATTTAATTTCAGGTGTAACCCAAATTAATTTTAATTGAAAGAAAAGAAAAACTTTTTTTTTTAATTAAATGAATTAACAAATTAATCATTTAAGACTGATTAAAACCAGAAAATTATAATTGTTAAAAGTAATAATGTTGAATAAATTGGATGAATTTTAAATAGTAAAAAATTAAAGAAGCAATTTTAAACTATTATTTTAGTTTAAGTGCAATTATTAAATTATAATTTTTATTAATTGCAAAAAAAAAAAAATTATTTAAATTTATATTTTAATAACTGATATTAATAAAATAGCTCTTCTTGATATCATTTCTTTTTCTTGAAAATATAATTAGACATTATGTTCAGATAAAATTATTATTGCTTATCCATTTCTATTTTATAAATTTATCATTTTATTGTTATCATTACTTTTATCATATTTTATCATATCATTATTTAATTCTATTACTTAATTATATTAGCTAAAAAAATATTTTAGCATTCATACGACCCTAATTAAACAGATGAAATCTAATAAGAGTGACTTTTAGCAATAAATTATCATTTTTATTACATAAGAAAAAGTTTCACATAAATTTATACCCAAATAATTTTATTTTTATCTTATTTAACTGTCTAAAAAAAATCGTTTTAAAAAAATGTCATTGATACCTACTTGTGCTTTGATCAAAAATTTTAATGGATGATAATCATTTTATAAAAGTTTTAATTATTAAATCGTAATGTAGAAAAACATAATTAATTAAATGGATAAAATTTAAATGAAAATAAAAGTTGCAATCCTGTCGTAGTATTATAAATTCGAAATTAAAAATAAAGTGTTAAATTATTAATATAGATGAAAATTTTCAAAATAAAATCTGCCTAAGCAAATTTTTTTTCAAACTTCTTTCACAAATTTTGAATAGTTCATTGGACCAGTAAATAATTTAAATGCAAAAAAAAAAAAAAAAAAAAATATGAAACAAATAGTAAAATTTCAATCAATAATTAGTTTATTTACTTTTTTCTGCAGTTTTTTACACTTTATTTTTTAAAAAAATGTAAGGTAAGAAAAAAAAGAAACGACATTTAACAATTTTAATTTCTAATTTAACAATTTCAATTTTTAAAAAGAAACGACATTCAACAATTTTAATTCTAATTTTAATTTAATTTGCAATATTTTTATTGCAGATGCAATTTGAATTTCATTTTTTTTTTTTGAAAACAATAAAGTAAAAAGAGTATATTAGAATTTTGATTTATAAAATATCCTAAAAATTTAAGCTTAATAATATGTGAGAACAATTAAATAAAAATTAATTAAAAAAAGAACAGAGTGAAAACATAAAAACATATATGAATGAAAGACAGAAGGAAATATAATAAATTATTTAAGTTTGATCAGAATTAATACTAAAATAAGTTTTCAAGAAAAAAAAAAAAAAAGAAGAGAAAAAGAGTAAATTAGTGTCGTATTGAAAAAGATTGATGAATTTATTAGCCTTGCAAAGCAGATGCTTATTAAATCAGTTTTTAAAAATTTATTCTATTAGATTTCATCCACCCACAAAACTTACAAATCTGTTTGTGTGATATTATTCTGAACAAAAAAAAAAAAAAAAAAAAAAAAGAAAAAACTTTCAATATTTTCAAATTTTTTTTTCAAAAAATTGCTTCAAAATTTTGATTTTTTTGAAAAAAAAAAGTTTTAAATTTGATCTAAAAATAACTTTGTGTTTTATTTGGGAAAAAAAAGTTTGAGATTCAATTTAAAAATAATCTTAACTTTGATTTCAAAAAAATTTTTAACTTTAATCACAAATTTTTTTGCTTACATATGTAAAATATGATGCAATTTGAAATTAATAGCAAATTATTGCTCTATTGTAAACGAATATTTCTTTTCCTAATTTCTGGCCTACTTCAACTGGGAAAGCATTAGCATTAAATTTAATAAGCAGCCAAGAAAGTGAGGCCAAATAATTGCAATGAAATGTTACAGACTATCATTTTTGCTGGGCTAAAAGTCACCAAGCATAATCAATTTGAAAAGAGGAAGGAAAAAAAGGACAAAAGAGTGTCATTATTCACTTTATTTCGTTTTTTGTCAATTTTAGAATTTATATGCAACAAGTAACCAAGTAACCGTGAAATCAAAATGGATAATAATAGCTTTTAGATTAGCCTAGAAAAAAAAGATAACAGCCTAGTTGATCATGGACCATAATATTCTAGCAATTGCCTAGTTGATTGGCACATAACAATGTTAATAATATGGTCACAACAGATAATGATAACGATGATAATAATGTCAATAATCTAGTTGATAACGATGATAATAATGTCAACAATCTAGTTGGTAAGGATGATAATAATGCCAATAATCTAGTTGATAACGATGATAATAATGCCAATAATCTAGTTGATAACGATGATAATAATGCCAATAATCTAGTTGATAACGATGATAATAATGCCAATAATCTAGTTGATAACGATGATAATAATGTCAACAATCTAGTTGGTAAGGATGATAATAATGCCAATAATCTAGTTGATAACGATGATAATAATGCCAATAATCTAGTTGATAACGATGATAATAATGCCAATAATCTAGTTGATAACGAAAATTAATGACGGAAATTTTTAATAAATAACGAAAATTTTTAGTTGATAATGAATAATAATGCTAATAATTTAGATGATAATGGAACGCAATGTTAGCAGTTGTCTAGCTGATAATGATGATAACAATTGTTCAATTAGTAACAGATAGTAATGATAATAATTATCCTAGCTGATTGACAGATAACAAAGTTAATAATCTAATTGATAACATATAATAATGTTCTAGTTGATAACGAATAATAATACTAATAATCTAGTTGATAGCGATGATAATAAGTGATTTGATCAAAATATTTAAAAAGAGAATTTCCTAAAATCAATAAATAGTAAAACTGAAAAAATGAAATTTGATATGTTAGTATATTTAAGTTTTACAATGCTTATGAGATATTATATGATAACAAATCGATATCATCGTCTAAGTTACTTATGAGATATTATATGATAACAAATCGATATCATCGTCTAAGTTACTTATGAGATATTATATGATAACAAATCGATATCATCGTCTAAGTTACTTATGAGATATTATATGATAACAAATCGATATCATCGTCTAAGTTACTACTTTTAGTACAAATCATCTAAATATTCTGATAACAAGCAACAATAATATATGATAATATCGAGAATAAAATCACTTTTTCCTCAAATTGAACTGATAATGATATGATAACAAGTAGAAATTATTATTTTATTTTTAATTCAACGAAAAACAAACGGAAAAAATTAATAATTTGAAGAAAATATTAATAAACAATTAAAACAAACAAACAGACAAACAAAAAGGAAAAAACAAAAAAGGAAAGTGATAATTCAAAATAAAATCTTGCAAAAAAAAAAATTGTGAGAAATAATACCCATAAACTTTTTATATGAATTTCATTTATTTCATCAAAAAATAAATTAAAATGAATTCCATTTATTAATTAATTAGCTAACCTAGCTAATTAGTTAAATCAGTGTAAAGTGAGAATTTCATTTTAGTTTTATTTTAATTCGAAAAAAATCTCAAACAAAAACAACAACTGACGGTTGACACGAATGAATTTAATGAATTTCGTTGTGTTGCAATAACAAATGGTTAAAATGAACAATGCAAAATTTATGTGTGATTTTCTTTTTTTTGTTGTCTTTAAATATTTCAAAAATTTTTAATTAAATTGCAAAAAACGAAAAAAAAAAGATATTAAGTTGACAAATAAATAATTTTAGCATTAGTATAGTGGGTTAAAAAATAATTTATATTTTTATTTATTCATAATAATTTTTTGTATGATTTTACTTTATCCTTAAGTTATAATTGAGACTAAAATTAAAGTTTAACCTTTGACCTTGCATTATATTTTATCATTCATTTTCAAGAAAATGACGAGAAGAAATACTGATAACATATGATAATCTTTTTACTCATGTAAATTATATAAAATGTCAACAAATGTAAGAAATTTTTTTAGAAATTAAAGATAACAAAAAGAATAAAAACTTAAAACCGAAATCATAAAAATAAAAATTTGACGAAATTATAAAAAGTAATGATTTAGGCAAATTCTACATCAAATCATTTTTTTTTTTTTGATTAAATTTTAAATTTCTCTAAATCAATTTTCATCTCTATGAAATTTGAGAAAATAAGCAAAGCATATTAGCCTTGCTTAAACAAATTTGCTAAATTTTTGATTTCATTATCATAAATTTATTTTAATTAATTTGATTTGCAAAAAAAAAAAAAATAAAAAAAAAAGCACTTACTTATATTTAATGCATTATTTAAAAGTACAAATAGTAAAAGTATAAATATATATTACATAAAATAAATGTTGCAATTAACTAATTTAAATAATTAACACTTTTAATAATTTTGAAAATTTTAACAATTTTCTCTTTTAAGCAATTAATTATGTCGCAATTAAAATTTATATTTTAAATACATCCATTTAAATATGATTGTAACTGTTACATTAATGGCAAATAATGATGACAATTTTCAATTGATATTAAATTTAAAATTTAACAAATTTAAATTTTAGCAAAAATTTCACGAGAATAATGAAATGATTCTTTTTTCTATTATTTAATTATTCTTATCATTTGCAATATTATTGTTATTATAATGATAATGATCATTCTTATCTAATTACTCTTATCATTTACAATATTTTTTTGTTCGTTATAGTGATAATGATCAGTATTGCTTGTTGCAGTTACTATGGTGAGAAATATTCGGTAGTTATAATTTCCGGAAACAATTAAATCTTCTTTTTGATCTTTTTTTTTTCGTAACTAAAAGTTTAGTAGAATTTTTGTCAAAAAAAAAATAAATTTTATGAAAAATAAAATCAAATTCTTATCAAATAAATCATAAAACGATATGTAAAAATATAATTTTATATATTGTATTTTTTTTTTTAAAAAAAAAAAACAAAACTGACAAGATTCAACCATTTTTAAAGAATTTAAATTTATTCCGATTTATAAACAATTAACTTGTAATTACTGTTAATTTTTTTTTTGTAAGAAATAAAATTAAAATTTAGCAAAAATGAAGATGAGAAAAGAAAGAACGAAAAAAAAAAAACTAACTGATGAAGAAATACAACAAATCATCATTATCATTCATTATCAATCATTATCATTTATCACCTCCTTCTATAATAATTACAATTTCTATTAATATTCAAATGAAATTAATAAATAAATGAACGAATGATAGGATACACAACTTATTTCATTGTTAATTGGAAAAATTTTACTCAAATTAAACTTAGTGATTACAATTATTATCATTTTAAATAATATCAAATGGAATTATTGTTAGTAAAATCAATTAATTATTGTCACCAAATATTATAATCATTAATAAATGTTATTCCTTCTAATTATACTACTTTTACTAGAATGTTTTAACTAGAAATTAATAATAAAAGATGCAAAAATTGATAATATCATTACTATTACTTTTGCATTTAATTACAATAATATTTATAGTAATAATAGAAATAGTAACGGTACTACTAAAGTAGTTATAATAGTACTAGTAGCAATATAAAATTAATAGTAGATGAACTAATAATAATAGTAATAATGAATTAGTACCACTAATATTAACACAGGTGGTAAACAAGTACTGCTACTGGTAGAAGTACCACTAATAATATTGAAGGTAATAAACAAGTACCACTAACACAGTAGCGATACCGCTAATATTAACAGGCAGCAAACGAGTGTTGCTAACAGCGGTATATTAACAGGTAGCGAATAAGTACCACTAGCGGTAATAAACAAGTACCGCTAATAATATTAATAGGTAGCAAACAAATACCACTAGCATCAGCAATAATTGTATTAGTACTACTAATAATATTAGTAGTAATACAAGAAGTACCACAATAATTTTAGTATTGTAGTGGTAATAATAAGAGTATACAAGTAAAAGGAGTAATACAAAAAGGAGTAATACAAAAGTGCAAATTAAGTAAGAAAATTAATACTAGTAGTGATAGTGTCAGAATAGTAGTAGTAATGCTAGTACAAGTAGCAAAAGTAATGCAAGTAGTAATGCTAGTACAAGTAGCAAAAGTAATGCAAGTAGTAATGCTAGTACAAGTAGCAAAAGTAATGCAAGTAGTAATGCTAGTACAAGTAGCAAAAGTAATGCAAGTAGTAATGCTAGTACAAGTAGCAAAAGTAATGCAAGTAGTAATGCTAGTACAAGTAGCAAAAGTAATGCAAGTAGTAATGCTAGTACAAGTAGCAAAAGTAATGCAAGTAGTAATGCTAGTACAAGTAGCAAAAGTAATGCAAGTAGTAATGCTAGTACAAGTAGCAAAAGTAATGCAAGTAGTAATGCTAGTACAAGTAGCAAAAGTAATGCAAGTAGTAATGCTAGTACAAGTAGCAAAAGTAATGCAAGTAGTAATGCTAGTACAAGTAGCAAAAGTAATGCAAGTAGTAATGCTAGTACAAGTAGCAAAAGTAATGCAAGTAGTAATGCTAGTACAAGTAGCAAAAGTAATGCAAGTAGTAATGCTAGTACAAGTAGCAAAAGTAATGCAAGTAGTAATGCTAGTACAAGTAGCAAAAGTAATGCAAGTAGTAATGCTAGTACAAGTAGCAAAAGTAATGCAAGTAGTAATGCTAGTACAAGTAGCAAAAGTAATGCAAGTAGTAATGCTAGTACAAGTAGCAAAAGTAATGCAAGTAGTAATGCTAGTACAAGTAGCAAAAGTAATGCAAGTAGTAATGCTAGTACAAGTAGCAAAAGTAATGCAAGTAGTAATGCTAGTACAAGTAGCAAAAGTAATGCAAGTAGTAATGCTAGTACAAGTAGCAAAAGTAATGCAAGTAGTAATGCTAGTACAAGTAGCAAAAGTAATGCAAGTAGTAATGCTAGTACAAGTAGCAAAAGTAATACTAACAGTTATAGTAATAGCAATGACATACTTATAAAACTAGTAGTAGAAGCAGTGATGTGTGCATTGATAATATTAGCACAAACTCTTTGACAGAGTGAAAAAGCAAAGAGAAAGTATTTGTGTGCTTAGAAAAAGAAAAGAATAAGATGAAAAATCATTTTTAAAAAAAAAAAAAAATAATAAAAGAGAGAAAAAATGAATTGAACTGATAATAATAGTATAGAATAATTGTTCATTTTGTCCTTTTTTTTTTAACATAAATAAAGAGAGAGAGAGAGAGAGAGAGAGAGAGAAGGAAGGACAAGGAAGAAAAGAGAGAGAAAAAGAGTGAAAAAAATAATAAAATAAATTTACAAATATTTAATTCAAAATAAGAACTTATATATTAACAAATATCTAAGTTTATTAATCAAAATTATAATTTTTGTTTCGCAAAATATTCTATTATAATTGAAATTGTATTATTAATCCAATACCTTTTCCATTTTTTTTTTTTTTTTGCTTTTTTTTTTCATCCAATAAAATGATAAAAAATGAAAAGATGGATATTTTTAAATGATTATGCTTTTAAAATTTCAATTTTAACAGATAATTTGAATTTTTAATTGAACTGAAGATGAATTGATTGCTTATAATTTTGATTAGAAGAAGGGAAAGAAAGATTAAAATGTTATCAATAATAAATATTATAATTAAGTAATTGATTACAAACTTTATTGCAAAAAGAAAATTGAGAGGAAAATTTATGCTAAATGATACATATTGAATGATTCAAATCAAATTTTCAAATTAAGTTTCAATTCAAAACTTCAAAAAATTAATTATTTCTTTGTGCTAAACTATGCAGAAGACTCAAATAATAAAAGATAATTTAAAATACCAAAAAATAAAAAAATATAATCATAAATATCAATAAAATTCAATTAAAAAAAATACGATAATCCAAATTTCCTATATTGAAATCAAATATTGAAATAAAATTTGAAATATTAGAAAAAACAATTAAATGAATAATTGAAAATGTTTAAAAAAATTTATTTTGAATTTGAACATTAAAAGATAATTTAAAAATAATTATAGCAATAATTGAAGTGATTTAAAAAAAAAAAACGTTTTGAATTTTATTCATGAAAATGTTTACTGAAAAAAATTCAATGAAATATTTTTCAAAGTTAAAATGTTTGCATTAAAAAAAAAGATGAAAAATCATTTGTAAACTAAAATATTTCACAAAATGTTTTATGTTTACATTCTTTGCTTGCAAAAAAAAAAAAAAAAGAAAAAAAATTTAGATGAAATTTTGATATAAAATTTTTTTTTAAAAGAAATAATTTAAACAGGTAAATTTGCAATGTAGAATAAATTTTCAATATTTCTTTCCTTAATTCATTAATATATAATTAATCTATTTTAAGTTTACAAGTACACATATATAATATTAAGTGAATTAGTAAATTTATACATTATCACAAATAATTTGTTTACTAAATTATCAATTAATTTTCAATTTCATTCCTTATTTACATCATTTTTCAAAAAATTTTCTTTTCTAAAAGATACAATTGATGAAAAAAATTAAAAATTTAAATCCCTGAAGCAAGTACATATATTATTAAGTAAAACAGTAAATTTATACATCAAAATTCATAGATGGAAAATGTTAAACATTTAATTTTATTTGTTAAAATAATTATAAAAAATATGTGAAGATAAGAATTATACTTGTATTTTGCAGTAAGAAATAATAAGATTGATCACAGACAAAAAAAAAAAAAAAAAAAATAAATAAACAAATCCTATTTTCAAATAAAAAAATAAAAATAAAATAAACAAATTTCTGGAATAAAAATTTGAGAAATATTTCACAAATATAACTAACATTTAAAATATAAATTTTAGCTTTAAAAATTTAAAAAATAATTTATCCCATGGAATTTTGAAAATAAAACTTCAATTAAATATTTAAAAGCTAATCATTAATAATTTAATTTGATGTATGTTAATGATAAATTTGTATAATGAAATAGAATTACAGATAAGGTTGAAATTTTGATGCAAATTTAACAATTAAACTAAAGTAATACATAACATTTACTACATAGTGATTTGAAATTAAAGAAAAAAGTAATATGATTAAGAGTTAAAATAAATATAAAAATAAAAAATAATAAAATTAGAAATTAGAATAAATGTAAGGGTGTAATAAAATTGAAAAATTAAATAATAAATGTGGTAAAATTGCTAATTTTATTGCACAAAAATCATTTTCTCTTAAATACGCTACCATCTGTTTAAGCTAAATGTGAAAGTTACAAATTTTAAGAGATTTAAATTTAAAACATTTCAAAAGAAATTTAGGAAACAAAAAAAAAAGAATTTAATTTTGATGAAATTGAACAATTCATTAGTTAGATGTTTTTTCTTTCTTAATGCTACTTGTTTAGTTTTAAAAAAAAATTAGAAAAATATTTGTTAAAATTTAAGAATTAATAAGTAAAAGTATGATTTAATTAATGAATAAATATTCAATTTATGCTTATTCATTCCATTTCTGATTTTTTGTAAAAATTTTAATACTTAATTTTCTCTTTTTTACCAAAATTAAATTATTTATTAGACAAAATAAGTTATTCGATAGAATTCACAATTGATAACAAATTCAAATACAATATCAAATGAAATATAATTACAATTAGACATTAGGTAAATAATTATACAAGACTTAATAAATAATATTTAATTTATATTCAAAATCTATTTAGAAACAATTTGTTTTATTTCAACTAAACAATCATTCATCCATTCATTCTTTTCATTTATTTTTCATTTTAATCACAATGTAATATATACTTATTAAATTAATTAATTGAAAAAAAAAATTAATCAAAACTAAAATAAAAAAATTTTCAAAGTATAAAATTCATTTATTTTTCTTTTTTAACCTTTTTCTTCCTTCTCTTAATAACAAATTCAAGCGTATGACGTACGTAAAATTTCAAAAATCATTTTAAAAAGTTACGTCAAATTGTATTTTCAACAATGGGAAGAGAAAAGAATGAGCAGAAAAGAAGAAAACAAATATTTTTGCATATGAAAGTTAATCTAACTAATCTTCTTTACAAATTTATCATTAAATTATCAAATTAAATGGATTTCAAAAATTCGTATTAATCTTTCTAAAATAATTTGGAAAAAAGATAAAACTCAAAAATTTACAAATTTTTTTTATTTTAAAAAAGTATGATAAAATTGTTGTTTATAATTTATTTTTTGTTATAGAGAAAAGTCTAACTTATATCTTTGAAGATTAAATAAATTTTTTTTAGAAAAAAAAGAAAGAAATATTCTGTTCAAAATATTTCATAAAATTTGTTTATGCTTGAAAAGTTATTTAAATCAGTAAAAAAAGAAGCATTCGTTATTTGTACTTTTTATATTATACAACAATATCTTATGAAAAAAAAGAAATTATTTAGTATCAAATTACTCAATTCGTTTTAATTTAATTAAATTAAAATGTACAGAAATTTTAATATGAATTTATTTTTACTATATCAGTTTTTGACGTGAATTTAATTGTATTTTTACATACTAATTTTTATATGAATTTCAATTAAAATTATCATATGAGCTTTAAGTTTTAAAATTATCATACTAGTACTAAGTTTTTGATCAGAACTATCAATTACTTATCAATTAACTAATTTAATTAAATTATACAGAAACTTTAATATGAATTCAATCCTAGCATATGAGATTTTAATATAAATTTGCCCATAAATTTTTATATAAATTTCAGCTTTACCAAATTAATTTCAGTTAAAATTATCATATGAGTTTTAAATTCTAAAATTATCATATCAGTGTTAACTTTTTAATCAAAATTACCAATTGAATAATCATTTTACAAATAAATTATTACTCTAAATTTGGGAAAATTTATCTCGACTTTTTCCTTTTTTGATAATTTTACACTTTGAAATGAAAAATTTTAAACATACAATAAGAATTGAAAATAAAAACAAAAAGAAAAAACGAAGAATTAGTAAATAGGCCAGAAAAAAAAAAAAAAAGAAAAAACCTTGCTAATATTTGCTGAATCAGAGCCTAGGCCAGAATCCGTACTATCGGTTGGCCGATGAATTTCAACGTATGCTGTACCATTGACACATTCTGCTGCACTGAACTCACTTCGATCTGAAAAAAATATTTTTTTTCTTTTCAGAAAAAAATGTTTATATATAGCAAAGACTAAATTTAAAAAAAAAAAAAAGGAAAAAAAAATGTTTAGCTCAAATAAACGATGAAATGAAAATAATTTCCACACAAAATAAAAACCAATTTAAAAAACAAAAAAAAAAAAATGAAAAAAAAGCGAATGAAAATTTTAATTTTATTCGAAAAGTCTTTTTTTTTTTTGCAAAAAAGAGAAAAAGATGAAAGAAATTAATTTTAAAGTTTCATTTATTCATTTTTTTATTCTTATAATTTCTTTTTTTTTGCAATGGCTTCTATGTAATATAGTTTTTTAATTCAGGAAACCATCAGTTTTTGCTTATTTGAAAAATTTTTCCAGCAAAGTGATAAGAATAAATTTGAGAAAAAAAATTTTTTTTTTTGAAATTTAAAGAGAAAATTGAAATTTTGTTGATGAAAAATTTAGGTATATTACATTAATTAAATTATGTTAGAAGGATCATTTTTCTTTCCGCCAATTATTTTGTTGCAATTTATAAATTTAATTTAAAATAGAATTTAAATTTAAATATTTCCACTTTCACCTTGCTTACTTCATTTCAATTTCTGTTTAAATCTGTCACTCCAATTGTACTAAGCAACAGGAAGAAGTGAAAAAAACTAATTCTTAAACAAATATTTTTAAATATTTGCTTGCGTTTCTTTTTTCTATTTTTAAATTTTATTTAAAAATCAATGTTTGTTTGTTAAAAAATTTTTTCACTTTAATTTACACTTTCGATAGTAATAATTTTTGTTTATTTAGTAAATGTAAAAACAATTATCAACATTGATCGCTATTTGATAAGCTTTTTAATTGTTAAATGAAAAATTTTAATTTATATCAGATGCAGGAAAAATAATAATTAATTATTGAAAATAATTGTTATTGTAAATGTAAATGTGAAAAAAAGGGAAAAAAAGAAAACTAAAAATTATGTTTTCAATTTCCATTTCTTATTAAATGTGCAAATTGTTCTCTAAATAGATTATAAGCTAGCTATTTAAATTAATTATCAATTATAAACTGAAAACAAATTAATTTTTGCCGAATTAATCAAATTAAATTATCTAATCGATTTATTGATTAAATTAATTAAATCTTTCCTTACATTTCTCAATCAGCATTTCATTATAATAAATCATTCGTTTTTTCTACTGTTATCGAATATTAAAAAATGAAATTTGGAAAATCAGAATAATATACAAAAATTAAATTAAATTTAAATTCATAAAATTATTCACACCATTAATTAGCAACTATTATATACTTATTTGTCGGAAAAAAAAATGTGAAAAATAGAAAGAGAGAAAAATGTGAAAAAAAAAAAAAGTGCGAAGAAATAAATAAGAAATGAGGAGGAAGAAGAAGAGGAAAAAAAAAAAAACAAATCGGAAGTTTACAAATTTAAACTTGTCAACTTTTTGAAATAATTGACAGGAATAAATGAGAAGCGAAAATGTATATTACATATTTATTTCACTATTCAATCAATTGTTGCTATCATTGTTTAAATTTAAAAATGAAAAAAGAAGTTTTTTTGAAAAGGAAAAATTTGCTTTTTTTTTTTTTTCTTTCTTTGCTATTTCAAAGTTAAATATTTTAATAGATAATTCCAATGCAATAAGCTTATTGTATAGTAGTAATTTTTAAATAAAAATTTCAATTTTATACTTTTGATAAATTTTAATAAAACATATATTAGAAATTGATAAGAAATTGAATTTGAAAAATAATAGTTCCAAAAAAAAAAAAAAAAAAATCAAAAAGAAATGTTTATGAAATAATTTGATCATATTATTTTTTATTAATATTTGCTGAAATATATGAATGAAAGAAACAAATAATAAAATTTTTATCAATTTCATCTTTTTTTTTGGGAAATTTTCAATAAATGATATGGTAATTTTGCTATGATATTATGCTAATTTAAAAGGTTAATTTAAATTTATTAAATTTAAAAGTTTAATTTAAATTTATTAAATTTAAAAGGTTAATTTAAAAAGAAGCATGCTTATTTCATTTATTTTTGCATTACTAAAAGCATATTTCAAATTAAAAATTAATTTCAACCAATATTTCAAAATGCATCAAAAATTTTGATTTATTTCATACTTAATCATAACTTTATTAATCATACAAATGCAATTAATTCAAAATTAAAATTTATTATATGCAATTAACACATTTTTTACAAATCCTAAAATTATTTAAACATTTTTTTTGAAAAACAAAATTAGTTAATTTAAAGTTAATCAAAACACTTTTTTTTTTTTTAATCAAATTATTTTTAAATTTTGGAAGTTCAAAAAAAAGAAGAAAGAACCAAAAAATTATTTGCAAAAATAACAAATCATAGAATTTTCCCCTTAGTTTTAGTAGCATTTAAATCTTTTAAAATGAAGAAAAAAAGAGATTTAACAAAATCTTTTAAATCCTTAATATCTTTTAAAATTTGCTTCGTGCGTAAAACTTTGGAAAAAAATAAAACAAAGAAAAAAAAATTCAAAATTTGGAATAAATATGAAATAAAATGTCAAAAATTAATTGCATCATTTTTTGTCATAAATTAGTAAAATTTTATGAAATAAAGTATGAAGCAAAAAAGAGAAAAGAATATTCAAATATTAAAATAGAAAAGAAGGAAAAATAGTATATGAAAATAAATTATAATAAAGAAAGAAAAGTGATAAAACTTTTATATATTTTTAATAACTATTTAAAATAAAGTATTAATTAAAAATTACTTTTTAAAATATTTTATCAATAATATAAGAAGAAAAAGAATAAAATAAGGTAAAAAAATATTGAAAAAAAGATAATAAAAATGTTTTTCCCTTTTAATTATTATTAAATTTCAGTTTAAAGTTCATTTTAAACATTATTATTACTTATAATATTGTTAAAATGAAGAAAAAAAGAAGAGGAAGAGAGAGAGAGAGGGAGAGGGAGAGGGAGAGGAAGATGAATAATTTGAGAGGATAAAATGAAAATGCCAAAAATAAATTTTGTTAGATGAAATGAAATGAAAAAAAAAAGAGATCGGAAGATTTTAATAGAATAATAGAAAAGACAAATAGAGAGAGAGAGAGAGAGAGAGAGAGAGAGAGGGAAGAGGAAGATTGATTAGGAAAAAGAGAGAGAAAAAGAGAGAGAGAGAAAATATTTTTTTTTAAAAAAAAAAGTTCAAAAAAAGATGAAAGAAAAGCTAAAGCATATAGACTAGAAGTAAAAGCTAATACGGATGAAAATTTTTAAATGCTTAAAGATTTATCATTTATCTCTAACCACAAAAAAAAAAAGGAAATACAACTATGTTTTGTTTTTTTTTTTAATCTTTTTCCTTCTCTTTCTTTCTCCCTCTCTCTCTCTCTCTCCTCTCTTTGTTAGTTATTGCGTTTCTTTCTTTGAGAAATAAACGGTTTTCTTTGTTTTATTGTTTAAATTTAAACTTTAAATAGAAAATTTAATAATTAAAAAAAAAGAATAAATTTTTGTAAATTAATTTACTATAAATTTTTTTTTTTTTTGTAATTTAAATTATTTTATAAATTTTTTTTTCTTTGTAAATTAAATTATTTTGTAAATTTTTGTAATTTATAAGTTTTTATTAAAAAGTTGAATTTTTTAAACAATTAAAAGAGATTAGAAATTACCAATAAATTAAAGTTTTTAATTTTTACTCTTTTTTTTTTTTAAAAAAAATAAAAAAGATAAAATAATAGAGAATTTGCATTTCATATTTGTTTACACAGTAAAAGATACTAATTCTGATTTTATTTTTAATTAGTTGAATTAATGTTTATTTTAATAAAACTTTAAACTTTTTGGAAAAAAGACAAAAGTTGATTAAAATCTAAAATAAAACTTAAAATAAAATATTATGATGATATTTTTGTACAAAAGAAAGGAGCAAATTATCAAATAAACAAAATCAAAAATAAAATAAATAAATAAAAGTAGTAAAAATAAGATGAGCAAATTTTTTCTTTTTTTTCTTGGAAAACAAAAATATATGTTAAAATTATCAAAAATTACTAAAAAATATCAATAAAAAAAAAAAAAAAAAAGGAAAATAAAAATAGAAAAATAAAATAGATAACAAAAAATTATTAAAAAATTACTAGAAATTTTAATAAATTTCATTTTAATCTTTTACTCTTGAACAAACAAAATAATAAATAAATAAATAAATAAGCATATAATAAATGATATTCGGTAATTGCATATAAAGAATTTAATTAATTGTAATAAAATGAATAGAAAAATTTGAAGTAATGAAGAAATATTTTTTAACATTTTGTAAATTTTACAACAACCACCTACCTTCTTCTCCTTCTTCCTCTTCTACTTGTGCTGCTTCTTCTTCTTCTTCTTCTTCTTTATCGAAATTTTCATAGCTATCTGCTCGAGAATTGTCCGCAATTGATTTACGAATGATTGAACTACTAATAGCGCCATCGCCATCATTAGCAGCACTTACCGCATTTGTATCATTATTATCATCATTATTACTACTATCATTTTTGATATTTTTTGTTGCATCGATTAGAAATATAAATTCAATTACTGCTTGTGAATTCACTTCAGAATCTGAAACAAATAAATAAAATTATTAAATTTAATTTGCATAATTATTATAATGATATAAACAAAAAAAAAAAAAAAAAAGTAGGAAGATTATAATTATATGAATTAAATTTTTATTTTATTGTTATAATTTATTATTATTGAATTTTGTAAGAAAAAAAAAAAAAAAAGAGAAAAATAATTCGAATTTTTGGATATTAATTGGAATACTGCAAATATTATACGAAAAGGAATTTCAATTCGGAAAAAAATGATAGTAAATATTTGCTTTCTATGCTATTTATCATTGCTTCAATTTAGCTTCATGCAAAAATTGATTAATACTTTATTGATTTCATAAATTAATTTAAATTGATGAGTTAAAAATTTTTTTATTATAATTTGAAATTGTATTGTTATTAGATAATCACGTAGAAATGGATGATAATTTGAAAATTTATTACTTATATTTGAATTTAAAAAATGCTAATGACTAAAAGATAATTTTAAAATGTTAAAAAAATGCTTAAATGCTTTTTTTTTAAAAAAAAAAAAAAAGAAAAAAGAAAAACGAATAGTTTAATAATTATCTTTAAGCATAAAAGATATTTACTAGATTTAAAAGAAAAATGATAGATGCATATATTATGTGAAATTAATTTTTAATTTTAATCAATTTTTATAGCATTATTTGAAGCATAAAAAATTTGTTAATTTTAAACTTTAACTTTCATAAATCTTTAATTTATTGAAGAAATGTTAAAAATATCCAATAAAATTTATAAAAAATATCAGTGATATATATATTAAACACATTCTAACGGAATGTATAATATACTTCTCTTCAATCATTTTTTTTTTTTTTTTTCTTTTTTCTTTAATTTATAATTTTAAGTTGATAAATGTTTGAAATATATAATTTCATGAATTTATTCAAAATTTAAATCATTATTATTTATTATTATTCTAGAAATTTCCAAAAGGAAAGCTATAATTTTGTTTTTTGTTAAATGAAGAATTTCTAAGAATTATATAAAGTTTATTTTTAGCAAAAATAAATAAATAAATAAACTAACAAATACTAAAAATTTTTCTGCGCTAAATAAGTTTAAATTAATTAATTAATTAAACATTTTTTTTATTAACTAAACTTATATATATTATAAATCAATTTATTCATTAATTTTTTATTAATTATACTTATCCTAATTTTATTAATTAAACTTATACTAAACTTATACCAATTAATTAAACTTATTTATTTACCATTAAAGATATTATCCAATTCTTCGCGATAAAATCGTAATCTATAGATATTTTCATTATTTGTTGACAAATCAAATGTGCAAGTGTTAAATTGACAACGAAAAAATAGTGCACGTTCAGTGGTACTCGTACGTTGGAAACATTTTACCAAAATATCGCCACGTAATGGTAAGTCATCCAATTCAAATGTATTATTTTCCGCTACAACCCTATAAAATTTTATCAATTATTTGTGATAATTTTAATTAATATAATTTTAAATATAGATAATAGATCAAAAAAATTTTTTTTTTACAGTAAGTCATACTTTAAACTTATATTTTTTTAGTTATAATACGAATAATTTCAAAAAAAAAAAAAAAGTTTTTTAAATAAAAATTGAAATATAACGTCGAGAAAAAAAAAAAAAAAAAAAAAACAATAAAATTAGTGATAAAATGATTAGTTAATATAATTTATTTGTTTTTGCATTTCATACTATTATATTTTAATTGTAAAATATATTTCAATTAAAATTTTAAAAGATTAGAAATAAAAAAAAGGTATAACCATACTTAAGTGATGTTGTATGCACTGGTTGCATACGTTCATATATTTTGAATAAAACATTTCGATTAAAAAAATTTGTTAATATAATATTATGTAAGTAAACTGTTGCTGGTTGAATTTTTGTTCGTCCACAAAGAAGTGATGAAAAATATTTGACATATCTAAAAAAAAAAAAAAAATTGAATTAAAATTGAAAATATTAAAAGAATTAAAATGTCTAAAAATCTGAATTAAAATTAGAAAAATTTTAAATATTTTGAAAATACTAAACAATATAGAATTAAAAATAGAAATCAATGTATTTCACATATCTAAAAATAAACATGTTTAAAAGCAGAATTAAAAATGGAAATTAATACATTTCAAATATTTGAATATAGAACTAAAAATAGAAATGAATGTATTTCTCAAATTTAAAAACAGAATTGTTAAATTTGAATTTCATGCATTCAGCTGTTAAATACATGAAAGTTTTTAGTAAAACTCACGTGCAATAATATTCACTTATAATTTAGGTTACATTTTATTATTAATTATATATATAATCTGCATAGTATTTCACGTTATATTCTCACTTACGCCATATACGTCATATTAAACTTTATTAAACTTTTTGCATACAATAATTTCCTATAAAACCTTAATTATAAGTAATTATTAATTGATATTTTATAATTAATCGTAAAGAATACTTAATTTAAATATAATTGCTAATGAATTTTTTCTTCTTTATTAATTTCATAAAACAATTTTATAGTTTCAACAAAAAAATTAGAATTATCAATAATTACAATTATAGAGAAAGTATATAAAAGTTTTGTTAGTTCAAAAAAAAAAAAAAAAAAAAGAAAAGAAAATAAAGAGAGAAACTTTATGGTTTTTTAATTAAAAAAATTTATTGTTAGCAATAAATTACCAATAAATTACAATTTAAAAGGTTGACAGTTGTTGACAATTTCATTGCATGCAATATTTTTATTCTAAAGTATAATAAAAGTACTTTTTTTTCAAAAATAAAACGACATGAAATTATTTTTTTGCTTTTAAAGTTTATGGAAAAAAAAATTTTTTAGTAATAATTTATAATTATTTTACTGATTGAACTATGATTGACCGAATTGTTGCAGACATTTAATTAGTTATTAAGTAGTTAATAAGTTGTTTCGTGATTAATTAGCACTAAAAAATAACCAAAAATATATAAATTCAAAATAAAATATAAAACTTAATATGTACTGGAGAAAAGGATTAATTAGTTAATAAGTAAATATAGTTAATAAGCTAATATATAATTAGTTAATATAATTAATAAGTTAATTAATTAATATACGATATTTAATTTATTTTCAACATCAAATTAACTCGATTAATTTTATTTATCTTAAACATTTTCTGCTTTCCTTTTGAAATTTCATCTCATTGTTTAACTAATACTTTTAAAGCAATTCAAAAGTTCGTTAAAAAAAAAAAAAAAAGATTAAAATGACCTTCGAGTGGGCTAAGTGACAAATTTAAGAGCTAATGCAAATACACTTTTAAATAGCCTTGAACTACTTCACGACAAAAAAAAAATGCTTCAATTAAACTTTATTTCTTCCAAAGAAAATTATTTTTTTCTCCGAGTTTAAATCATTTTTTAATTTAATAAAGAAAAAAAGAAGAAAGATAGATGTGAAATCTTTAATGTTATCGAAAATTTTATTTTCAGACAAAAAATCACTATTTGAATCAAATTTATCATTCATAAAAATTTAATTTTTACTAGTTATTTTCGTTTTTTTTTTCTTTTTGTAAATTTTTTTCATCAGAAATTTGTTATTTTCAAATAAAATTTTTTTAATTCGAAAAAAAAAAATTCACTTAATATTGGTTTAATTTATAAAAATTAATTATTGTAATAAAAAAGTGATAAATTTTAAGATTAAAAATATATCTGTTTGGTATAAAAATAAGCAAAATAATAAAAGAATATACTAAAAATTAATATATAAAATGAAAAAAAAAATTATTTTTTTCTTTTTTCAATTTTTAAATTTTATTTTATACTAATTATCAAATCATTAAAAGAAATGAAAATGAAAATTTGATAAAAACCGTTTATGCGATGGCTGTCCATTTGGTCCAAGATAATATTCACTAAATTGTTGTAATGCAAAACGATTTTCAATTAATTCATCACTAAAATTAAAAAAAAAAAGAATTGAAAATTTTTTTCAATTAAAAAAATTTATTTTATTTTATTTCAATTTCTCCTTTTAAATGTTTGTTATTTCATTTCATTAAATATAACTTTTTAAATACAATGATAATATAACACAATATGTAATACAATAAATAATATAATGTAATAAAATTGCATTAAATAAAAATTAAAATTAAAATCAATTTTTTTGATTATTTTAGAAATTTATTTCATTTTTAATAAATATTTGTTGAAATAGCAAAACAATTTAAATGAAGTGAAATAAATTTTTGTTTTCAAAATAACAAAATTATAATAATTATTATTGTTGTTTACAATTACTAATTATTTCACCTCAATATAATATATATATATTTATAAAAAAAAAATTTTGTAAAATTATTTTAAACAACATTTATAAATGTACTTGTAAATTAGTAATAGTAGAAATTTTATAATTTATAGAAAGTTTCTTTGTTTCATTCGTTGTGAATTTTTATTCATCAAATAACAGTCATTCATTTACATTAATTTGCAATTTTAGTTCTGATTTTAAGTTATTTTCGTTTTAATTCTCTTTCATTTTTTTTTTTTTTTTTTTTTTTTTTTTGATAATATTATAATAATATTAGAAAAAATTTTTTTTCCTCTTTAATTCATTTAAAAAAAAAAAATTCTTCTTTTCATTTTAATTCATTTTAAATATTATAATAATAGCAATAAAATTTCGAAAATAATTGCAAATAATATTAAAATATTAATTAAATCTTATTAAAATCAATTTTCTCAATTTCCATTCATTTAATTTAAATGAAAAATTTTTACTAACTTAGAGCATATGGTAATATAATGCATATATGCAGCAATAACAATAGCCGCTCGTGAACAACCACCCTTACAATGAATGACAACGACATTTTGCGCATTTTCAGATAACCAATTCTCGAGTAATTTGCATATTGAACAAAGTCGATCAAGTGGTGGTGCTAATTCTTCAGGCCAGCCAAGTTCAACAACTGAGTGCAAACGGCCAAGATCATTGCGCTTTTTTGACAAATTAAAAATCTGAAATTATTCTCTAATATACAATTTTTATTAAATAAATAATACTCTAATTACAAAAGAAAAAAAAAATGAATAAAATAAATAGAAAATGTAGTATAAAAATAAAATTAATACATTTTTTGCTACAAAAAAAAAATTTTTAAAACCTTTTTTTTTTGAAGTATTTTTATCCTACAAAAAAAAAAAAAAAAAAAAAAAAAATAAATAAATAAATAAATAAACAAAATAAGTGAATAAGAATCATGCTAAATAGATTTTTTCCTATGTAAACAAATTTTAGTATGGAGAAAGAAAAGAAATAAAGAAATTAAATAGATTCAAAATATTCAAATTACTTAAATTGTTTGAATTATTCGTGCATAATTTATTCAAATTCGAAAGGAATTAGATAATAAAAATTTTTGCCTTTTATCATTTTAATTTTTCATTAATAAAAAAAAAAGGAAAATTCCAAATTTGTTAAATAAATACGCAAACAATTCAAATTTGAAATGATTAAATGAAATAAATAAATGAAAAAAAAAAAAAAAAAGAGAAAGAGATAACATAAAATGGGTTAAAATTTAAATATTTATGGATGATTTCAATGATCCATGAACTGCTAACATTGAATAAATGTTTATATTAAAAATTTAAAAATAACCGTTTAACAGTGAATTTTAAATTTAAAAATTTCATTCCAAATATATAATCAAAAAAGAAAAAAAAAATCGAAAAAAAGAAGTTTTTCCATTAAATTAATTAATTTTTAAATTAATTAGTTCTCTTTCTTTTTTTTTCTTTGAACAGATATTTACATCATTTGAAGTATATAAATTATGAAAAAATTTACAGTTTTTTTTTTTCTTTTTGAAGTCAATTTTTTTTTTTTTTTTTTGATTAACTTTTTAGCTTATTTGATGTATTTGTCAAATTTTAAATTTTTTTTTTGTCTTTTTTCCTTTTTCAATCTAAAAGAACAAAATGAAATCGTATATCAAAACAAATATGGGAGAAAAGATGTTAATTGAGTTTTGCTCCTTTTTTTCTCATTCCATTCTTTTTTCAAAAAATTTAAATTTTTCTAATATTTCTTCTTTTCCAAATTGAAAGTGTTTTTTTTTTTTATAAATTTAATTTTTTCAGAGATTTATTTGTTTTTTTTTCGTTTTGTTTTTTAAACAATATTCTCATTCATTATAAATGAAAAAGTTTTTTTTTTTTTCTTTCATTTGTTCCAAAAAAAATTTTTTTCATTTTATAATTCATATTGCTCAAACATTTAAAAAAAAATATGTATAAGTGAAAAAAAGCCAAGCATACAGTCTAATTATACTAAATTCTAAGATAACATAAATTTTAAGAGAATTTAAATTATAAGACTAAAAGGTTAATATTTAGTAATTAAGGTCAATAATTTATTGTTTGATCCTAAACTGCAAAAGACAAATTACTTTCTGTAAATTTAATAATTTTAAATTTAGTGTTAATATAAAATTTAATATTAATTAGAAAAGATGTAACAATAGTTTATGACTCGAAGATTTTCTTTGGTAAAAAAAAAAAGTTAAAAAAGAAGAAATTTGATAAATTGTTCACTAATTTATGAGTAATTTTAAAAAATACAATTTTTTTCAAGTTATCAAACTCAGTATTCTTCTATTATTTTAAATTTTATTTCAAATTTAACAAATATGAATAAAAGTTGTTTACTTAGTAAGATTAATGAAATTTTTAAAAATTTTTGACAATTTTTAAAAATTTAACACTTTTGAAGCACAGAGGAAAAAAAATGTAGCAATTAGAAAGTTGAAATAAATCATACAAACAAACATATATTGTTGTTTCAATTGTTCTAGCATATGTTTTTCGTTTTTTTTTGTAAATATTACATAATTTATTCTATGATAAAATATTTTAAAATATCAATCAAATAAATTGCTGAAAATAAATAACGATTTTTTTTAAAAAAAAAAAGTTAAGTTTTTCGTTAAAATTATTAATTTAATTAATCGGAATGGTAAATGTAATATGCTTGTATACTATTATTTATAAAAAGAAAATAAAAAATGATTTAATATATTTCAAAATAAAATTACGGGCAATTTACATATGTATATATTATAATTTCCTTTTGTTTGTTTCAGCAAGTTAAAATTTTAATTTTAAAGTCATTTAAAAATTTCAATTAAAACTTTATTTAACAAATTCAAACTTAAAAATTTAAATAAAATTGTAAATTTCACAAATGATATGAATTAAGCAACAATATACTTCTTTCACCTTTTTCCACAAATAAAAATAAACTTTCGAGTTATCAATTGCCATTGTACTTTTTTTTCAAATTAATATTAAATTTTATACTGATGTTAAATTTCAAATTAATGTATCAAATTTTATACTAATGTTGAATTTTAAATTAATGTATTAAATTTCACAGAAAATGAATTCGTTTCTAACTTTTCCTCTATTTTAACTTCAAAAATTCCAAATTACTTTCAATTATTTATAAATTCAGCTTTAGTTTTTATTATTCAAATTAAACAAATAATATTTCATTCTCGATTATTCATCCAACAGTAATGTCCCCTTTTTTTAATTTCTAATTTTAGTTCAAAAAACTCGTCGTTGTTACTTATTTTTAATTTCATTCAATTCATTTCAATTTCTCAAACTTATATAAAATATTCCTCTCTTTGTTTCGTTTTTTTGTCTTTAATTCCTTCAAAATTTGATATTTTCTTTTTATAATTTTGTTTAAGCATAAACATATTTTATTAATGTGAAATATGTTTTAAAAATATAAAATGTAAAATTTATTCAATTAAATACAAAAAAAAAAAAAAAAACATAAAATTTGCAAAATTATTAGTAGTATTATTCTTAATTAAGAGGCTTATTTATGTTTAATAATTAATTTAAAACAATTATAATTACATGAATTAATGGAAAAACTAAAAATAAGAATTGAAAATAGGAATTTGAAAGAAATACCTTGTAGTGTTCAGAATGATTACGTCTGAGTAACACGGTAGCATCTTTGAGATCTGTTCGATATTGAGCATCCGTACTGTCTGATGGAAATAATGCTGCTAAAAAAAATAAATTATAAATTTTTAATTATAATTTGAACTTAAATTTTATAAGCAAATAATTGATTATATAAATATGAAATACACTAAAATATATTAAAAAATTGTGATAAATAATCATTCAATGTATAATAATAATTTACATTTTATATGATATTTTTTCTTTTGTCAAACATAAAATAATTACAAAAAATTTAATTAAATTTAAAAAAATTTTTGTCTGCAAAAATTTGGAATTTTTCAGATTAGTTGCATAAATTTCTTTCATAAAAATTTAGAAATTTAAAAGTAAAATGTTAAAAATTTTCAATTTCTTACAAGTAAATAAAATGCCAATAAAATTTTAAATTTAAATAAAAGTCTTATTTAATAAAAATTTGAAAATTTCACATAGAAAAAAAAAAAAAGAATACTGCTTAATAAATATTTGAAAATTTTAATTCAAACGACAAAAAATTCTTTTTGTTTTCTTCAATTCCTGTAAATGGATAAACAAAATAAGCAGTAAGTATTAAGCAGTAAGTTTCATAAAATATTTTAAAAAAGCAAAAATTATTCGATTTATATAATTTGATAAAAGAAAAAGCGTGGGTGGATGGGAGGGAGAGGTATTAAATTTTTTTTAATTTAAATTAATCAATTGATCTAAAAAAAAAAGCATACGTATGGCAGATGGCGGTAATTGGTAACAGTTCCGCAAAATTTTTCCATTATTTTCTTTTTTTTTTTTTATTGTTTATTTTTTATACAAATGATTAAAGTAAAAGAAAAAAGAAAGAAAATTGTATTTATTATTAAATGACAGGAAGAATTTTTGTCTTTTTTTTTTATTTTTTGAAATGTGAAATGATGAAAAAATGAAATTGAATTTAAAATTGTAATTTAAAATAGTATATTAATGCTAGAATTTCACTGATTCGTATAAAATAAAATAAATGAATTCATTAAGAAATTAATGTAAAATGAAATTTAAATTTGATGCAGAATATATGAACTGAAGAAATGATAAAAAATAAAATTGAATTTTCAAATTTCAAATTTAAATACCAATAATTCGTTGAGTAACATATTGAAGTTTCATAGCTGATGTTGAAGCAATTTTAGCATTAGCTAATGTTGTTTGATTGCTTGAGCTAGGCATTGATGTTTCCTCCACTGCTAACATTGATGGCTTCTAAAATTCAAATTCAATATCAATAATTAAATTTAATTAATTAGTTTATTTAAAAAAAAAAAAGAAAAAAAGATTTCAACTTATTCTGATGAGAACTGAAAGACTAAATTATGACTCAAATTTATTCTTTCTAATTTATTTTGAATAAAGTAATGGATAAAATGTTGAATTAAATTATTTACAAATTAATTCATTCAAATAAATGAGCAATTTTAATGAACAATTTAAACAATTCACTTAACATCAATTAGATAATTAAATCTAAAATATTAAAACTCTCTTAATTTTTGAAAAATTTTGCATTATCGGTTGTTTACTTTCTTCATGGCAAAAACTTTTCATAAATTTAAAGTTTTCTCTTTAATTCATTAGAAATTCTATAAATTTGAAGTTGGTATTTTCTCGATTGTTTTATCACAAAAAAAAAAGAAAAACTAATGTTTTTAATCTCTTTTTTAAAAAAAAGTTGAAATGTCACATTTTTTATAAATCCGTTTTTTTAAAAAAAGTTGAAATGCTATTTTTCTCAATGTTTCTTTTAATCTTTAATTATGTTTTAGTTTAAAAAATTAAAAAAAAAATATGACTATATATTAATTATGAGAATAAAAATTACTTATTACTAAATACAATATTTTTACTAAATATTTGCTGTTAAAACCTTCCAAATTTTATAGTAATAAAAAAAAAAAAAAAAAGTTTTCATAATTTCAATAAATTAAAATCTAAAAACCACATTTTATTTTTGCTTAGAAAAAATTGAACTAATCAACAAATAGCAATCAATAAATGATTGTATTTAAATAAGAAGTAAATCAATTCATTATATAAAATATCTAAGTAAGTACTTTCGTTTTTTGTTTTGCTTTTTTGTTTCTTTTTTGTGAAACAAATTGCAACTTAATAAGATAGTAATAGAGAAATATGATAAATATCAGAAATGAATTAAATAATCGAAATGAAATTGATAATGAATTAGTTCCGATAATATTGGATAAATCTGAAATAATCATTAAAAGATGAGAGTGGAGGGATGAGTTGAAGTGTAAGTTGCAAATGAATAGATTACAACTTCTATCCTTTTCCCAAGTAATTTAAAATTCTTAAAGAAGCAACTGTTCAATTATTGTTTGCTTCTCAATGATAACATATTTATCAGAATACTTCTTATCATCAATATCATCTCATATTGATAAATTTCAGCATCACAAATAACACTGATAAAATTGACAAATAATAAAATTTTTTGCAAAAAAAAAAAAAGTTGAAAAAAAATTATTTTATAATTTATAATTTAGGAAAAGATATCAATACAAATTCAACTTATTTTATAGCTTTTTTTTTTATTTTTGTATTTTACAAAGTTTGAAATTTTAAATTAATTCGAGAATTGTAGAAGAAAAAAGAAAATAAAAACAAAATCAAAATGATTCAATGAAAATTTTTATGATCCAAAAAAAAAAAAATATTATCATTGTGATAATAATTAGTGAAATTAGGACGAGAAAATCCTTATTTTTGCTTTTTCTTCTTATTAATTAATAAATTAAAGATTTTATCTTTAAAGCCTTTTTTAAAAATAAATTAAAATAATAAATTTTATGTATGTATAAAGTGATAATGTGATTAAATATTTCTTTGTTTGCAAAAAAAAAAAAAAAAAACTTTAAAATTCTTTTCATAAAATTAATCTTTTTAGTTTCAACTGAAATTCTTTAGATTTTTCAGTATTTTAAAATATAAGGAAAAAAAGAGAGAAAAATGTTTCAGATGGATTATTTATAGCAAATGGAATTGAGAAATAATACAAATAAAGCGCTTTATGCATAGTGATAAGATTATCAGTACTTTACTTACTTAAATTTACTTTCATACAATAAGTAAAATTATCATTTAATAAATAAAGATTAATAGGTAAAAAAAAATTATCATTTTTTTGGCTTTTTTTTATAAATTTAAAAAAAGTTAAAAAAAAAAGATTTTTTCTTTCTTTTACGATTATCATAAATTAAAATAAATAAATTTTATTAAATTAAGAGAAAAAAGATTTATTTGAAAAAATATTTGTTAAAATAAAATTTTAAGTGAAATCATGCAATGATTATTCTGAAAATATAAATAACAAAAACTTTTACTTAACTTTGTGCTTAATGTCATTCAAGCTGATATATGCAAATATGTATATAATAATTGGTTTGTTCAACTTTTAGCTAAACAATAAATTCCCACGGGTAAAAATGATGAAAAGTTAAATTTACCATTCAGTTATAAAATTATTCCCTCCCTCTTTTCCATCTATACTTTAAAAACTATAAAGGACAAATTGAGAAATTTTTATTCTAAAATTCCAATTTAACTATGTCATAAATTTTAGTATATGAAATTTGTTACATTATCGCATCACTGATAATTTAAATAGTAAACGGATAAAAATATATTTAAAAGAATTGAAAATTAGGAGCAACTAAATTTGAGAAAAATTTTAAAAAAATTCCAAAATAATTCTTTCTTTTTATTCTTAAGATTATTTCTTCCTTTTTCTCTCTCTTTCTCTGTCTCTCGTGAATAAAAATTTTTTTTTGAATAATTTGTAATATTTTAACTAATTTTAATTCATTCAAATTTATTCAAATAAATATTTTTTTGGGCATAAAATGAGAAAAGTGAATGAAAATTATCAATTGTAATCAAATAATAATAATAATAATAATAATAATAATAATAATAATAATAATGAAATTAATTTTTCTTTATTTTTTTTTAATAATTTAACTTCATGATTGAATAAAAAGTTGATTTAGATGAAATATTTATCAACTCTTATCATTTCTCTTTTCTCCCTCTCTCTTCCTCTCTCCCTCTCCCTCTCTCTCTCTCTCTCTGAAAAGTTTATAAGAAAGAGTTGAAAAAAAAAAAAAAAAAAAAAAAAGGATAGTATTACAAATGTAACAATGTACGATGAGCTGAACAAACATTATCACTTTTCTTTCTCTTCAGTTATCCGATAACTCATTTTTTTTTCCTTCTTATTCAACTTTTTACTTCAAAAAAAAAAAAAAAGAATTTCCAATTTTACAACATTTTTTACCAATTTTAAACAGACTTTATCAATCAATCAATAAAGCCATATTTTAGTATTACTATTGTTTACTTCAAATTATTGAGGCTAATAATTTTAAAAAAATATATAAATTTCAAGATTATATCAGTCAAATTAATAAAATCATATTTTAACATTACTATTGTTTATTTCTGTTTATTAAAAGCTAATTTATCACTATTATTTTGTTTCAAATTATTGAAATTAATTAATAAGAAAAAAATAAAAAAGAATTTATGAATTAGTAATAATAAATGAAATATTTTATATTTTATATTTTAGAAAAAAGCAAATATTGTAATTATAAAATAAGTAAAAAGTAACTATTTTCATTATCAGAATAAGTTCAGTTTATTTCTTATAAAATTAAAACTTAATTAAGATTTTATTACAAAAATATCAAACTAATTAAGCCCAATTTATTCACTTATTAAAAACAACAATTAAATTTTGATTGCAACTTGTGCGAAAAAAAAAAGACTATAATGAATGAATGCTGAAAGAAATAAACTTGACAACTTTGAAATCTTTAAGTTAAAAATTGAAAAGTTTCACAAGTTGTTGACAATTTTAAAAAAAGAAAAAAAATTTTTTCATAACTTTAAAATTCGAATCAAACATCAACCTTTTCTTTCGTTTTATGCACCATTCGGAAACAAAACATCGTTTCTTTATCCTTTCTTACAACTGATTTCTTAAAGAATTTATAAAAAAAAAAAAATAACGAAAATTTTATCAAAAAAAAAAATAATTCAATTTAATTTCATAAATGGCAAAAAAAAAGAATTGTAAAAGTCATTTTTTTTAAATTTACATAAATATTTAGGAGATAAGTATCATCATGCATGCAAGTCTATAATTATATTAAAAAGCAATAACAATTATTTCTTAGCTATTATAGAAAAGTTTTTAATTTAAATTTTATAAAATTGGTATTAAAAAAAAAAAAACTTAAATATGTTATAAGATTAAAGCATTCACTAATATAAGCATATAATATGAACATACAATTTAGAGGAATATAAATGACAGGTGTTCTACAGGTTCACACAAACAATAATTTCATCCAAAAATATCAGATATGCTTGAGAAAACAATTGTCATTCAATAATTTGCTGAAAATAATTTTGTGCTTATTATTATTGTTGTTATTATTATTATTATTGTTGTTGTTGTCGTTATTATTATTATTGTCGTTGTTTTCATCTTATTCTTGTATTTGTCGTCGTTATTAACATTATTACTTTTATATATAATTCTACTCACTAATAATTTCTTATTATAATTTCTGAAATTTTTTCCTATAACAACAGCAACGACAACAATAACAATAACAACAACAACAACAATCGCCACTATCCGATCATCACTATCATCATTATCACCACCAATAACAAAATAATAAAATTATAATTCAATAAGTAATCCAATAATTCTATTATAAAAAAAAAGAGAAAAAAATAAAATTTCTTTCAAAAAAGAAAATAAATAAATTAATAAAAATTGTGAATGTTAAAATATCATTGAATATTTTCATTTTTCTTTTTCTAATATCATAAAAAAAAAAAAGAAATTTTAGCAAAATGAAGAAAAAAAAAAAGGCTAAAAAATTATTGCATAAAAATAAAATTTTAAAAGAAAAAAATTATTAAAAAAAGAAATTGTATAAAAAAAATTTCAAAAGAGAAAAAAGAAAAGATAGGAAGAAAATAATGGATTAAAATAAATCTTTTATTAATTATAAATAAATAAAAAATTTATTTTATTCTTTTTAAATTACACACATACATACACATACACAGACATACACACATACACACACAACTAGTAATTGTCATCGTAATAAGTTGTTGTTGTCGCCGTTGTAGAAATAGCAATAGTAATAGTAGTAGTAGTGATA